TCTTGCGCGCCAAGTCTTGTCCTCCTTGACGCACATAATGTTCAGTTCCCTCAGATCTCCATGAACGAGGCCAGAGGCGGCTAGGTGTTGAACAGCTCGACTGAGATCGTTCAGAACCGAGTCTTTCCCTTCCGACGGCACTTCAACAAACGGCTTTCCATCAACATGATCCATCACAATAAGCCAGAAGCTGTCATGATAGACCTGCTTGGCGTGAAATAAGGCGGGAGCAAGTCCTGCCTTCGCAAGCAGTTCGTGTGCCTCGACGCCATACGTGTGACTGAATTTCACGACACATCGTTTGGAATCGAACTCTGTTCGGAAGAGAGGCCTCGTCCGTCCGTCATCGCCTTGGACAAGAATGTCTTGAAAAACGAGCTGATGTCCATCCAATGGTAGTGAAGTGGTATCAGGAAGGCGAGCACTCAGCATTGAAGTTTGGCTCGGTGTGACTCTCTGATAAAACAACTCGAGCGAGGCAATGCTCTCCTTCAGACATCGAAAGAGATGTGCCACTTCGCAGATCCGTGCTTCTAGGGGATAAGAATTGACTTCGAGCGAGATAAAATTCTTCAATGCTTCTGTCGTTGGCTCGCCAGCGAAGACAATGCCAGAGACGCGGATGAATGGGCCCGCGATCACGATGAGGGGACATTTACTCGATCCTGAACCCAGCTCTTCCTTGCAGTTGCTGCAATTTCATTGTTGGCCTCCGAATATCCCACAGTGATTTCGGGCTTATACTCGTAAATAGCAACCTCCACCGCGAGAAGCGTTTGACTGTTCGGTACGTCTGCCATTATCGACCCATCTGCTGCAGATTTGTCGTCATTGACGATCTGCAGTGCAACCTTCCCAAGCATGTTGTTCAGGACAGGTTCAATATTACGACGGCGCGTATCTTCATCATTGTATACCGCATTTGCTAAATGAATGAGCAAATGCGCTAACGAATACTCTTCTGGGGTGATCGTGTCGAGGTTTTTATTGGAGAATGAATATTTGAAGTCTTCGAAGACAGGAGCGTATATCCCGATCGGATGTCCCAGGTATTCGGGGGGCCGCCCAGTTAGATTCGGACCACGACGCTGTGCTTCTATCCACTCTCTGGGCATCGCTGCCTTGGACGGTGCATCCGCATTCTTGCCGAGGAGAACCGCGTTTTGAAAAGTCTCTGTATGAATAAGGGGATAAGTTATATAGCGTGGGGAGAAGCACAAGGAGCGCACCTTGGACAATGGAAGGTTCCACTTCAGCGCATCATGCTCTCCGGACTCAACACCGCTATGGTCGAAAAATGCTGCTGATTTCCTGTCAACTGCACAGATACTAATATGAGCAGGATCCAGACACTGAACTTGGAAAAGTCCACCTTTAACCACACAAAAAGAGAGCCACGGTGGCGTGTTTGGGGAAACAATATAGTCCGTTAAAGGTTTGTATAGCGGGACGGAACGCTTGCCCTGGATCCATTTCGGGTCAAAATCCACGTCGGCTTCGTACGCAACATGGTCCAACTAGATACGATGGTGGTTAATGTTCTTTCGAATGCTAGTGACAGATAGGCAAGGTACCTGGTACAGCTTGATGTACGCCTTTGTAGGATTTATCTGAAGATGGTTCATGCATTCCGTGACAAGTTTGACGACAGTCATTTCCTCATTGATGGATAGTCCAATGACCCTGTTCTCATCTCGATAAAAAATCCATAAGTTGAGCATGTTCGAAAGGGGAGTTAGACTATGATCGAAACTGTGTTCGTCCGGGTGAGTGAGAGCGGCCCGTTAAGTTGCTACCAAATGCGGTAATGCTTCCACCAGTAAAATATGTCAACATGCTTAGAGGATATGTTGGGGATATGTTGGGGGTAGCGCGTCGTCTTATTCATCTGGTCGTGTTACAATGTTAAATATCCTATTCGCCGTTGATGTCAAACGAAAGAATACATGGATGAACGGAATTCCGCGGGGATAAGGATATCGGGATGAAAAGATTCCGTCCGGTGAGAAGGCGTCGTAACGCGGCCGATAATTTCTGCCTCACGAGCTGTTACACTTCGCCACTCTCTTCTCCCCCCAACTTGCGAGATATCCCACATATCTAATGGCGCTCGCCCTTGCAGGGCCAAGCCAGGTAAGTATATGCTAATATAAATGTATGCAATCAATTGTTAACTAGAAATGTAGTTTATTGGCAGCGCTCAACCCTTTCTACAGAACTTGACTTCGCTCATTCATTCCATTCCTCGTCCAACTGCTGTAACCTCGACAGCACCGAAGCAGTCGCAGCTGAGCATCGCAGCACCTTTCCAAGTGTGTATTACATGCATGCAAGTTGTACCTCGCGTTGCTGACAATGAATACAGCATTTCGTTCCTGCTGTAGCAGAGGTCCTGTGCACGCTGCCTGCGGCGATTCCTAGACCGACTCATTTGCAACACATCGGTTCCGCCAATCTTCATTCATTCCGAGCACCTACCGCAACATCTGTACTTCTAGCAGCACCCCTTCGACTAAGTCGTACTGTTCCCCAGCGGCGAGCATACTCAACACGGTCGTCTTTCTCGCCACTTCTTCATGTCATAAAGCCAGCACCGTCAGGACCGGGTGCAGTGCGGCGCCAGATTCAGCAAGTGAGACCGATCACCTGGTTTCCCAAAGCGAAACCAACACTGGAACCCCTGGTTGTAGCGAGGATCGGTCGAGCCGAGGCAGACGCCAATGCAAATCCCGATGATGTCAACAAGCAAGTTGCGCTCTTTCGAGAGCTTGTGGCCCATGGTGGTAAGGATGGATGCGAGAGAGTCATTGCGCGATGGGAGAGAACATGCCAATTTGTACGTGAACAGGACCATGCCTAGGTTACCACAGACTGACCAATCATCACAGAGCCCTCAGAGTCCCCTCATCAAATCTGACGCTGCCTTCTCGGTGTACTGCAGTGCACTCACAAATTCTGGCGCCGCTGCATCTGTGATGCCAGCTGCGGTACGACGTGAACAGCTCCTGAAGACTCCTGTGCCAGTTGAGGCCGAGGTTGTACCGTCCACACCTGAGTCATCGAGTGAGGTCATCGCTAAGAACATCTTGGCTACCCCGAAGAATGCGCAGCCAACAATGTGGGGTACAACACCTATCGAGGCAACTCCTGCTGCTGCGACAGCACCACAACCCGCTGTTGTCAGCACGGTTGGCAATAGTACCGCGGAACAGATGGCTGCGGCTGTGGGTTCTGGCGCCGGCATCAAAGGAAATCCGATACATGTTGTTATGGAGGAACGTGCGTGTTTACAGTGTCTTTGCCCGCGTCCATTTTTCTGAGTTCATGTATCAGCGAGAGGGGCCATGTTCTGGAAGTTCATGCGATTCGTTGGCATCACTGTGCTCTACGGCTTCATCCTCCTAACTGTGTTGGGTCTTGTCCTGGAGAACTCGGGTCTTATGAAAGCAGGTCCCCGCCAGACAGAATTCGAGCCTACTCCGGGAAAGACTGTGACTTTCGGCGATGTCCATGGTGTTGATGAAGCAAAGGATGTTCGTATCCACCCCCTTCTGAAGGAACATTGTTGATTCTGACCTAAACTTCACAGGAGCTGCAAGAAATCGTCGAATTCTTGAAGGATCCAGGGAAGTTTTCTACCCTTGGTGGGCGACTTCCGAAGGGTGTACTGCTCACTGGCCCTCCCGGGACTGGCAAAACCTTGCTAGCACGTGCAGTAGCAGGGGAGGCGGGTGTTCCATTCTTCTTTGCATCTGGGCACGTACAGCCCCATCGATGACATGACATGACGTACCCTGACAATTTCTGCAGTGCTGAATTTGATGAAATGTTCGTTGGTGTTGGTGCAAAGCGCATTCGCGATTTGTTTGCTGCAGCGCGGAAGAAGCAACCTGCCATCATCTTCATCGATGAACTGGATGCTATCGGAGGCAAGCGTAGCCCAAGAGATCAGCATTACATGAAGCAGACCCTCAACCAGCTTCTTGTTGAGCTTGACGGGTTCAGTCAGACCGAGGGTGTCATTGTTATCGCTGCCACGAACTTCCCGGAAACGCTGGATCACGCCCTTGTTCGCCCTGGGCGGTTCGATCGTCATGTTGCTGTCCCTCTACCGGATATCAAGGGCCGCGTGCAGATCCTGAAGCACCACATGCGTGAAGTCACCGCGGACATCGATGTCGATGCCGCCATCATCGCTCGCGGTACTCCAGGCTTCTCAGGCGCCGATCTCCAGAACATGGTTAATCAGGCTGCAATCCAAGCATCTCGGGAGGGAGCAAAGAGCGTGACCTTGAAGCATTTTGAATGGGCCAAGGACAAGATCTTGATGGGATCTGAGCGCAAGAGCGCATATATGCCGGAAGACGTGAAGAAGCTCACCGCCTATCATGAGGGCGGTCATGCACTGGTTGCACTTTACACTCAGGGAGCCATGCCCTTGCACAAGGTGACTTGCGTACCCCGAGGGCACGCGCTCGGTCTTGTGAGTTCCTTTCGATCCTCGGTCGATACACCTCACTAACAGTTACGTAGACGCTCCAACTCCCCGATAATGACCGGCAATCTGTATCGTTTAAAGAATTCCTCGCAGAGATCGATGTTTGTATGGGTGGCCGCGTTGCCGAGGAGCTGAGTGAGTGCCTTGCCCCTTCGTGATGGAGACGCTGACAGCATCTTCAGTATTCGGCAAGGAGAACGTGACTTCCGGCGCGCGGTCTGATCTGCAACACGCCAGTCGTACAGCGTCTAATATGGTCAAGCACTACGGATACTCAGACAAAGTCGGCCTAGTGTATCACTCAGACAATGATTCGTATGCCAGTCCCGAGAAGAAAAATTTGATCGAGATGGAGGTTCAGAGGTTCCTTGACGAAGGGCACAAGCGGGCGAAGGAGTTGTTAAAGTTGCACGAAGTCGAGTTGCACAGGTTGGCCGAGGCGTTGGTGAAGTACGAGACATTAGATCTGGAAGAGGTAAAGAAAGTGATCAAAGGCGAGGATATCCGAATAGGCGAGAACCTAGCCACTCTCTAGCATGCAATGGTATAGTCCTTTGTTGTGTTCATGAATTTGTCAGTTGGTAATGAGATACGTCTTGTAAGCACCAGTCCTCTCCTGTTACTCTTACTGAGTTTGCGTCTCAGGCAGAAAGAATGTCACGTGGTGCATTCATTCTCTTATCGCGATTGTACAGCACCGACGCGACGGACGCGACCCCTTTTACTCTTCCACGGAACATGCCTCCAACACATCTTCTTTGCATTCTGTCGACTGATCCCATGCCTTGCTGGTGAACTCTACTGCTCAGCCCTCTGCATTGCCCACCATGGGGCATGGGGTGTTCCTCGGGATGATCTTGGCTGTTGGTGCCAGCAACAAACCGTTCCAGAAGACTACCGGTTCAAAGGTTCTTTCCTATCATGATGACATAGGAGGTATAAAGTCGTCAGACCAAGTCGTCTGGCTGTCCCAAGAGTCGACAGACAACAATGGCTCGTTTGTTCTTTACTTCGCTGCTTATCTCTTGCCTATATGGAGCTTTGTCTGTAGTCGCGCAAACTCCCCCTCTGGTGAACTTTCAAGTGCAACAGCCCCCTGCGTCACCTTCTAGTCAGGCATGCGAACATGTCCTTGTATGTGTGAAGGCTACGAGAAGAATGTCCTGCTAAGTACCCTCGATTAGATGACGCATAGCTTCGCGAACTCGTACGGACAACCTAGTATAGTTACTTACACGGTGTGTACTTCAGCATATATATACCAAGGACGAGTCTGACTCGAACTTCTTTAGCCGCCCACCGATTGTGGCGCAGTTGGAGAGTGGGCTGTGTGTTGTCGTTTATCTTCCTTCGTGGTAGTCTGTCTGACGTATTCATAAGGCAATATCCCTCAACTTCACCTGCACTTCTCAAGGTGTGCAATACGATCGCTTGGCTATTGTATGCAGGAATCATTCTTCCCAAAATGTTCTGTTCTGATGAGTTACTAGCTGTCCTTGTCCTCTACCGAGATCTGGCGCTCGAGCACCGCGGAGCCCACTTCCTATGGGATCATCTTTACCGCACTGAAGGATGTAACGCGATATTCGGCGCTGTTTGCTCAACCGGGTGAGCTTGTGTTTGACATTGGCAATATCGTGTCCGAAGATCTTGGCCTTACTGGTATCTACAATGGTCGGTCTGCAACACCACTCATTCGAAATGTGATTCTGATACACGCTTATTAGCAACCTTGACCGCCACGTTCTATGCTCCGGCCGCTGGCTGGCCGAAGACTCAAAAGGCTGATCAAATAATTCCTCTGGGAAACCCTGGAGCCACCTCGGACCCGATGTTTGCTGTTCCTCCCGGCGGGAATGTGAATCACATGATGTCTTCCATTACCCAATCACTTATTGATCTCTGTCGCAGACGACTGTGACTCTGCCTCGCAACGTCGCCCAAGCTTATATAGAGATCTACGCTTCTGGGAATTCCAACGAAGAGTTCTGGGTGAGTTAGAATGAACTAGTTCAGTCCCTTGCTGATTGCGCAACAGTATACCAACGTCGCCAATCAATACTACAATGATCTTCCTGCGGATACAACTTACGGAGATGGTCCTTTCCGCGAAGTCCGCCTCCTGATCGACGGTGTTGTTGCTGGTGCGGCCTTCCCGTATCCAGTTATCTTCACTGGTGGGATCCTTCCCACGCTATGGAGGTGAGAGGCCTCGATATCGATCGGTAATCCAGCTGACATCAGGAAAGACCTATCTCCGCATACGGGTCCTTCGATCAACCCACATATTACGTTGACATCACCCCCTTTTTGGGAAACTTGTCTGATGGGCAAGAACACGTTTTCACCCTTGACGTTGCCAGTGCGGAAACCGATCATGCCATCAACAGCAACTGGTATCTTTCTGGAAATTTGCAATTGCAACTTGCCTCCACCAATGTTCCCACAACGGGCAAGATCCTGAACTACAATGTTTCACCATACGCTCTCTCCTCCGCCTCTGGTGTCGTTGCTTCTAACGGTGATGTCAACGTCACTGTGAAGTCATCACGTTATGTGGATATCACCGCGGAGATCATCACGAATGGCTATGACATCAGTGTGGTCACCTGGACTCAGAGCCTGGAGTATAACAACTTCCAAGCCTATTTGGAGGACGTTACCGTTGAAGTATGTTCCACACTGCATTCCCGCGGATCGGCCTCGTTGAATTAGATTCTTAGCTTGTCGATCAAACGAGCACGGGGACAAGTCGTTCTACCCATAACGGCCAACAAGTCCTCTATGACAGCTTCAGCTATCCGTTCTATATGGACTACTATTTGGTTACTGTCGGAAACGAGAGTGGCTGTGAGTCAATCCTGCCAGTCAGCTTGTCCCATTTTGATGTTCTTCTTTAGGGTATGCGTCAATCGACCACTCGTACGACCGTACTTTCTTACCGAGTTCCCTTATTCCTGAGAGCACAATCGCGACACATCAATATGGAGGTAAGCATTTGTCCTCGTGTTGTAATAATCGCTCATTTCTGGTTACAAGATGGCGTGTACTTGTTCGACTCGGACGGAAACTTCGCGTTCGCTAATGGGACAACGACCGAGGACTTCTCATACTACGATTCTGTGGGCAACACATACACGAGAGCTGTCACAGCTGTGAACTCAAACATCACAACTGACCAGATTGGTGGCTCCTTCGCCAATCCAGGTTCATGGTGGACTGGTTGGGGGATGTTCGGGGCACCGGCTGGGACAAAAGGCGCCGGGTCCAGTTATGTGGCGAGGACGTTCGGTCCCTCGAAGCTCGGAGTACATATTGGATAGAAAACATGTGCCCGTTTTCTTCTGAATTCAAGTGGAGTTTTGCTCTCCAACATTCGTGCTCTCCATCTGCCCAAGTGCACAAACCACACACCAATAGGAAGTCAGTTCCATTACGGAGACTGCTATGCTAATCCAAGGGACACAAAATGACAGACAGCTACCGTACATGAGTCTCACACGACCAGGGTCCCGAAGCGCTCGCCGATCCGGCATGCTTCTTTTGTTTGTGGGCTTTTAGCTGAGTTTTGGGGTAAAAAGAATCCGCAGCATGGACTGCAAGGTATCCAAGAAAGTCAATCCGTGAGTCAACCGTCAGCCGTATAGACGGATTCCGATCAAATGAAGAGCACCGCCGAAAGACCGGCGAAGATGTCAACATTGACGGAAAGGGAGATGACCGCTTTGATGGTGACGCAAAGGGTGGCAATGAGACTGACAATGACGTTGCCCAGGCAGACCTTGAGAGATCCGAGGAGAGCAACGAGAACCTCGTTAAGTCCACCATAGCAGGACGCGATGTTCGGGATTGACGAGCAGGAGTTGATGACAACGAAGATGTCGATAAAGATGTTCGCGCAAGTCGAGGCGATCAAGCCAGCGCTCAGCCCAACGACCGAGACCGGAAGTGCTGCGATCAGGGTGATAGCGGCGTTGATATCCGCGATAAGGGTGGCAAACACCGCAGTATATAATGTCGCGTCGACAGATGCTTGGGCAACAAGGTTGGCTGGGTGGTAGGGTCAGTGGGTGTCATAGATGATATCAGAGAGAATACTCACCAACGACAGCAATATCCGCCTTGACAGTGACATGGAGGTTTGCAAGAATGGATACAACTGCACCATCATTGCAACCGAAGGCGCAGCGCTCTTCAAGCTCGTTGATTGCAGGAACGGGAGCGGCGATGGCGACAAGGCCGAAGAAGGCGAAGACGAAAAGGAGTGTGGTGGTAAAACGAGTGAACTGCATTGTTGCGATTAAGTTGTGGGAGATGATAAGGGAGCGGAGGTGAAATTAAAGAGGGACTGGGGTGGAGTGTGCGAAGTAGCTGCTGTTGATGATGTGCTGACCACGTCTGGGAATGGGTCTTTATAGGTCCTCGAGTACTTGTCACCGGTCATGACGGCCGGCGACATCAAATTGGCAGAAGCAATGAGTTTGCGAACAGAAACACAGTGTGAGAGTAGTAAGGGACCACAGTTTGAGGTATGTTGCTTTCCATGGGTTCCAGACATGTGTTGTTCTCCTTGAACGAACGAAGCAGTGAAGCAAGTGTCCACAATGTCAAGTAGGATTAAAGTCTCAGGTATGCAGAATCAAATTTCAGCTTGGCGGTTCGGAGATGTTTGAGACAGAATCGCCCTGATGCCCATCCAATAGCAAGAGCAGCCAGAGTTGTCTAGTCCATAGGAAAGCACATATCAACATACCAGGGACTCGAGGGCACGAGAAGCCAAGACAGCACGATTCCTAGAGCCGAATCGGATGGCACAAAGAATGGCACGCGAAACGTCAATTAACCAAGATTAGAGAAATCAATGAGGATATGAGTGTTGAGTGCCCTTGGAATGTTGAATTATGCAGAGGAATGTTGCCCGTTGCTAGGCCTGTAAGATTTCATGACGGTGGTTTGCTCCCGTGTCGGCGCTTCTCCTGATCCACGCCTCCTCCTCGTCCCACTCCTTCTCCTCCTGCTCTCACATTTGCTGTTCTCAGGGTAGAGCCTTGCATCATCACACTGTCACCAAAATCTGCTTGCACTCATGTTTGTCATTCAGATGACTCGGCTCATCGAGGCTCGGAGTTGAGTCCAGACCCTTTTATCCGACATTCAATGCCACACAATCTACTCTCGGATGTCTGCGAGTCTGGCCCTCAGCTGGGCATTAACCATCCTCAACTTTGACTATACCTCTCGTACTCATTGACGCGGAGAGTAAAGAGGAGGATGCATCTGGAGAGCTAGCTTGAATCAGAGTCAGGGACTCGCTCTGGAATATTTGTTGTCACTCAGGGCAACCGACACCTCTCATCAATTCCGGTTGTCGGATGGTGATCTAGGATGGACTTCTCGGACTCAGTGCTCATGTGATCTCCACGAGTAGATCTCTGCATGGATTGCTATGAGGTGCCTATGGTGATCGAAAATATATAAGAAGGCCGACCTTCTGCTCTCCAGAATGTATCCACAACAACTTCTCTTACAGCTCTTACAGCTCTCATCCAAACTCGAGCCCTTTCAGCACCACTCTACACTCTTTGATCCAACTCGCAACCATGCAGTTCACTCGCATTTCCACTCTTTTCTTCGTCCTCGCTTTCTTCGGCCTTTTGGCCCTTGCCTCTCCAGTCCCAGCTCCGGAACTCGAAGAGCGCTGCTCTTTCGGCTGCAACGACGCCAATGTCGTCACGATTCTCACCAACTTGCAAGCTACAGTCAAAACTCACATCGCCGTTGTCGGTAAGTCCATTCGTCGATCCTCGTATTCTGCACTCTGACACTAGTTTCAGCCACTCTCGTCGCACAGGCGTCTGTGGACCTCGACGCCTACACCGCCGCCTTCGCCACCATCGTTGCCGATATCAATGCTGCCGTCACCCTTCTGGTCGCCCTTCCTGTCGGTGTAGTCGGTCTGTCCGCAATTGTCATCGCCTCGACGTGCGCCAACATCTTCATCCAAATCTTCGTCGTGGTCAACTCCTGCGCCTCGATCTCCGGCATTGCCGGTTGCTACGGCGGCCTGAACGCCTGCCTGCTTGCGCTGCTAGCCGCTCTCAAGGTCTGCCTCGGCAGTACCATCATCGGCCCCATTGCGGGGCTTTGCGCCTCGATCAAGGTCGTCCTCTTGCTCAGCATCAACGTGAACGTTTTCGCTGGTCTGTGCGCCGCGCTCTTCCCTTGAAAAGCCAACAGGCTGTGTGGTCCACTTTACCCACTCCCGGGCCACACCGCTCCTTCGAGCACGACTTGTTCACCCCAAAAACGGCGCGAGGCTTAACGGCATTCTCTCCCCGTGTATCCGCCTGTTGTCCTGTTTGCTTTGCACTGTTGTTGTAGTATCACATGCCTGCCGAATGGAACTGGTTTTCATCCCAAAATGATTCACGGCGTGACGTCATACACTTAAATGTGTTCATCCACCACACACCGTCTTCACTTGTACTGCATACAAGTTTTGCTATCCGAATTATGCCTTCTGTGGCACATACCCCTGGCTGCTCTGCGTCGCGTAGTGCCACACCGTGCTCTTGGCCCTCTTCCACACCTCATCTAGAAGGGCGACCACGTCCTCTGGCAAAGGACCCGCCTCGCTTCACAACACTGGTGAGCTTCCTCCGATGAGTGTGCACAAGAACTCACGAGAACTTGATGTTTTCTTCCAACTGATGCACGCTACTGGCCCCAAGAATCACACCGTCGGTCTCCATAAGCATATAATGATGCTGCAGCCATCGCAGCCCTGCTTCGGGAAGCTCAATCCCGTGCTTTTCCAGCGTGTCTTTGAGGGGCTTTAGGAGCGGGATCACTTCGGCATACCTCGTGCGAAGCAAACCTGCTCGGTAGCCGCCGGTTTGGAGGGTCCAGCGGGGTGAGTCGCTGTTATCCGCATCCATCAGGGTGAGAATGTTACCAGCCAGGAGCCCATTGGCCAACGGCGAGTAGACATAGAACCGGAGACCATATTTGCGCAAGCAAGGGATGAGCCTAAAAGTGCGTCAGTGATTCAGGGGAAGTGGGACGATCAGACATCAAGCACGCACTCGTTCTCGACCATCCTCTCAACCGCATTGTAAATCGCCTGATATACAGTAGGCTGCTTCCATCCGTTCTTCCGAGCGATCCAGACAAACTCGGCTACTTCCCACGAGTGGCAGTTACACAATCCGATCTCTTCGCTGTGTTACCGGAAATCAGACTTTGCTCCGCGTCCTCGAACTTGGCTGAAGACACACAAGTGGCCGTCTTCGTACATCTTATTCAACTCTCCCAGTGTCTCCTCAAAAGGTGTGGTTCTGTCCGGCGCATGCAAATAGAACACGCGGATCTTGTGCGGCCCCAAAGCCTTGATGGATTCGTTGACTTGCCTGCGAAGATTAGCAGGGGAGAAATCACCAGACTTGACAGGCACCGCTCTGTACCCAATCGTCAGCATATATGCCACCAGAACGCTCGATTCCAACCATGTCAAGCCCGCGGAAATAGATCAACGAACTTCGTATCAATCCTCCCGCCCTTCAAGTCCAGTTTGCCCAAGAACTCTTCGCTAGTCCCCAGCCCATAGAGGCGCGCACAATCGAAGAACGTATAGCCATGACCGACAAAGCAGTCGACTACGGCCTGACACTCCGGCAGGGTGTGCAGGCGGGTGACATGTTTGTTAGCCTCTCCGAAGGAGGCGGTGCCGTTTAGTTAGATGTGATTACCTGGTGGGAAAGGGAGTATTGAAGACTCACGTAAAGAAGAGGAATTCGCGAAGGCATTTGCGAATGCAGAAAGTTCCCGAGAGACCTGTGTGCTGGTCGGTCCTGGTTTGCCATCAGGTATAAATAGTCCTCCAGCTGCAAGGATTAAGCAAACATGAACTCTCCACGACATCGTCCACGCCGCCTCGACCTGCGTTCATTCCACGATTGAAAAAACTTCAACCATGTGCAGGAGTTGAATCACACAGCACGAGAGTCAACAGGTGTACATCCATTCGCTACACGCACCGAATCGGGGAGAGGAGGAGCAGGACAGGGTCCGGCGTGCATGATCGGGGTGCCGTGGAGCGTGACTCGCTAGTGCGGGGAAAGCCGTCATCTCATGTTCAACTTGTCCCATGATTGACAAAATTTCAAGAGTCTTTGTATTCTTATTTGGATAAGGTGACGAACATAGGACTGCGCGAGTTGACCGAAAGATATTGAAAAGTGCTGATATTCAGTGGATCTATCATTCGTTCGTATAACTGCACTCTGGCACATACCATTCCAAGTCTCAAGTCCCATCTGCCACACTCATCCCCCCAATAATCCCATTCAATACCCCGGCGCAGCATACTGGCCTGCAGTACTCTTCGACTTGAGCCACGCCTCGTCCAACACGTCAAGTATATCCTTCGGCAACGGGCCCTCCTCACTGCGCCCTATGAGTACACTCCCTTCCGAAAACAGCGCTCTCACCAGTACTTGATATTCGTCTCCAACTGGCCTACGCTACTCGCGCCAATGACGACCCCATCTTGTTCTCCAAGAGCAGAATGATGCTGCAGCCACCTCAGGGCCGCCTCGGGAAGTTCCATCCCGTTCCTCTCCAGCGCGTCTTTGAGCGGCTTGAGGAGCGGGAACAGCGCAGTGTACCTCTGGCGCAGCCTTCCTGCGAGCAAACCCGCGATCTTGGGGTCCCAACGCGGGGAATCGGTCGTCTCTATATCGGCTAGGGTGAGGAGCTGACCGCCTAGGAGGCCGGAGGCGAGTGGGGAGTAGGCGTAGAACCGCAGACCGTATTTCCGGCAGCAGGGGATGAGTCTACACGCGGTAAGAGTCATGCGACAGGTTAGAGAGGTAGACCCACTCGGGCTCGATCATCCGCTCGACGACGTTGTACACGCCTTGGTAGACGGTAGGCTGTTTCCACCCGTTCTTCCTCGCGATCCAGACGAACTCTGCTACTTCCCAGGAATGGAAGTTGCTCAGACCGATCTCCTCGCTGCATATATGCGCGTCAGCTGATACTATGAAAGGACAAACGAGGGATGGGGTGAGAAGTAAAGTGGGACGCACATGAGCCCCTCTTCATACATCTTATTCAGCTCACGTAGCGTGTCCTCGTACGGCACCGGCGCCTTCCTATCCGGTGCATGGAGGTAGTACACGCGTATCTTTTGCTGCCCCAGCGCTTGGAGGGACTCGTTGAACATCGCGCGAAGTTTCTCTGGCGCGAGTCCCCCTGGCTCGCGAGCGAATCCCCTGAAGTCGGTTAGCACGAGGAAGAAAGACACGGAAGCGGGAAGGGAGAAGGGAGAAGGGAGAAGGGAGAAGGGAGAAGGGAGAAGGGAGAAGGGAGAAGGGAGAAGGGAGAAGGGAGAAGGGAGAAGGGAGAAGGGAGAAGGGAGAAGGGAGAAGGGAGAAGGGAGAAGGGCGCACTTGGTATCCACTCTCCCGCCCTTCAAGTCCAGCTTGCCGACGTACTCCTCACTCGTGCCAAACCCGTACCCGCGGGCACAGTCGTACAGGCCATACCCATGCTGAGTGAAGCAGTCTATGACGGCCTGGCACTCGGGGAGAGTGTGAAGGCGGGTAACGTGTTTAGCTGGTTCGCCAAAGGCGGCAGAGCCCTGCGTCCTGTTAGTTCTGGAAGGAAGGAGGGGAGGGGACGCACGTAGAGCAACGGTACGCGGGAAGGCATGTTTTAGCACAGCAGGGGCAAGAACATATAGACACCCTTCGTGCATGCCAGCTATTTAACCTCCAAAGGTGCTGACTCGCGTGATGAGTGAGTCGACAATCCACAAAGACATCTGCGATCCCGTGCGAATGCCGTCAAGGTTCTTCCGACATATACCCTGCATGGATACCTTAACGACTTGATGCTATGACCATGCGGGGTTGCTCGCTGATAGATACACGACGGACGGTCTAGTTGTTGAGGTGTTGTAAGTCAAGAGGGCATGACCGAGAGAGACGTAAGCAGAGAAGCCCAAGTCCCTGAATGTGAGAACCGGAACTGACGTTTTCCACCAAGCTCTGTTGTCGGACAACGACGCACGGACGACGGTCAAGAGGGGTCACAACGTGTGCGTTCGATGGCCGTCATTCACGTACGAACGCAGTTTGGGATAAGTGAGTATAATACCCCACGCCCAGAATACCTTCGAATGCTGAGATAGAATAGTTGAATTCGAACAGTTATGTGAGTAATTACATAATTCAATGAACATTGTCCACATCATAATATGCACCACTGCTCATTTTGCCTCTTCTCCATCTCCATCTCCGTGTTCACAGCACTGCCCAAGCGCCCACGACAACGCCCATCACCACCGCCCCCACACCCAGCAGATGTTCCTTCCCCAGCCCAGCAGCCTTGCCCAGTGCAGCACTCGACGCGGTCGAAGTGGGCGACGTGAGCGTAGTAGAGCCGCTAGTGGTCGGCCCGCTCCCAGCGGCGGAAGTGAGCTCACTTGCCCCGGAGACAGCAGCAGCGGTAGCGATCGTATAGACATGGTCACCGAAGCTGCTCTCAGATCAGTGGCTGTCCCAATAGCTCCCAAATTCAACTCACCTTGTGACGATCCCAGCTCCGTTCTCTGCGAGAGTGATTCCCTCACCCCCGATGCTAGTGACGACAGTGAACGCGCCTTGCGCCGCGCTCTCAACGATCGTTCCCACCTCCCCCGCACCGGCGGTCGCAACAGTGAAGACGCTTCCGCCAAAGCTCGTCACAAACCCCACACCGCTCTCGGCGAGTGTGAGGGCATCCCCCGCACCGTCGGTGAGGATGGTAAACGCCTCCCCTCCGACGGAAGTGATGGCTGCACCGACGGTGCCGATGAGGAAACCTGTGGCGTCGCCAAAGATGGAAGTAAGGATGCCAAATTGGCGCTCTTCGATCTCCCGTTCTTCCACGTCGATCGGAGTTGCCAGGGCGGGGAGGGAGAGAGCGAGTAAGACAGCGTGACGGAGGCAGATCATCGTTCTAGTCTTTGTGGGAAGGGAGGAATAAACAGAACAGAACAGAGCGTTCCGTGTAAAGTCCCCAAAGTGTTCAACCTAAAATACCCAAATCGCAACAAGACTGCGGAAACATCTCCGATCACAGCCCGATCACGCTTATCACCCGTGAAAACTAACCCGAACCTTATCCGGATTTACACGCTTTCCCAAAAGGCTGGGCGGGAGTGCGTGTGGGTAACGTGGGGGCTTTCCGACTCTCGGGACGGCGCGTGATGTCATCGCATGAGGCGGTGTGGCTGACTGCGCGTTACGAGTCATTGGGGCGGAACCTCCGTCTTGCGTTGACCAAACACTGCCAAGGGACATCTTGTTCCTGCTGGGAAAACACTCAAGGTGTACAGTATCTTCGATGTTTAATGCGTGCTTAAGAGAGCGTGTAGGGCTTACATGCACTTCATCTAACTGCTGTCGGCACTAAGTTTCAGAAACAAACTCTGAGTCATGCGTGGCTGTTTCTAGGGAGCGCATTCAGTCAGCAATTGCCAGGTGAAGAACCCAAATATACCCAACGGTCGAGTCTCCCTTGTGTCACTCTCAAGGTTTAGGAATATGAGATGATCCTATGCAAGGTATCATAATGGAGAGACTGATATCCAGTGCTATCCTTAGCTCCCGTATCTCCACTCCATAACCCACATACCCACCACCTCCTCCCTCTTACCCTGCATCGGCACTCCACCCTCCATCGTCTCCTTAAGCTCAAACCCAAGCTTCTCGAACACCCTCTTGCTCCCCTCGTTCCCCGTCAAGACGTACGCACGGACCGTTCGGCAGCTCATGAGGGGTCTGGCCCATGTTTGGAGGAGCGTGCGGATCGCAGCGGTCATGATCCCTCGACCGTGATGTGACGATATCAAGTAGTCTTACAATAGTCAGTTTGTACTCTATAAGAGAAAGACGGAAGCTGTACCTCCGATCATCCATACGATCCCCTCATCCCCCGCCTCTCGTGCATTATTCTCTCGCACAAGTCTATCCCGCTCCTCAAGCGGAAACACCTCCGAAAAGCTACATCGCACAAGCCCTACATCACCTATAAACTTCCAGCTCCCATCCCTCTGCACCTCCCGGATGAACCGCAAAGGTGTAGCAGCAAGCTTCATCCCCTCCCACTTTTGAACGAGCTCGCTCATGCGCGACACGCTCTCCTCGTACGTATGTACATTCCGACGTAGCATATCCTCCGCATGCGCCAGCAGGTAAGGAAAGGGCGGACTAATAGTCCAACGGTATATCAACGGGTCGTTGAACGCTTGCACGATTTCTGCCCCGTCGGCGGGGTCAGGACCGCTGAGGATGACATGGGAGTGAGGAGCTGGGAGGGGGAAGAATAGGGCACCGGTTGGAGAGAGATGCAGGAAGGGGAGGGTTTGCGTGATGAGCTTGAGGGAGGCGAGGTCGGGTTGGGTGATGGACATGATGCAGCCTAGAATTACAGACAGAATCACAAGGTATGCTCAGTCACAAGGGTCTGGATCTGGATACCAATAACAATGTCAATGTTACAGCCCGATATGACCGGGGTTCGCTGAGAGAAGTCTGGATACATGAACCGTACGTACTGAATGGTATGAATTGCTGGTGTTGAAGTTATACCCGGATTCATACGATGATGCGATGCTGCAATTTCGAAGATATATGCAATCAAGGGTGCTGAATGCTGAACACTCTGGATCTCAGGCCTCGACCAGCTCATTTCACACACTCTTTTCGGCGGAAACCGTGGTAGAACACGAACACAACAAATGAGCGAAATGTATACGAACAACACTGCACCAATATTCCTCGACGTGCAGCAGCCAAAACCCGAGCAGGCCTCCTCCGCCGCCGCCGAGGAAGACGCGGTTGCACACCCTCAGCTGCAAGTGGTTGACAACAAGAAGCGCATTCATCCACGACTTTCGCACGAACTTACCCCAGCCATCACGACGACGTCTTTTGCGTTGATCTCAACGTACGCTGGATGCCGAGACGGGCCGAGGTGGCTCTGTCCTGCGTTTTTGCTCAATGCCGAGATCGACATCACGAAAAGCCGGCGGCGAGATGGGCATTCCCGCCTTGTCGGGATTCCTGTTCGTCTATTTCTGCTCTTCTTCGTTGACAACATCAGCTCGTGGAGCGCTCTTCTGGCGCAGGTGGGCTATGCAATTCATTCGCATCTGTTGCGGGAAGTCTCCGCTGATGACCTATTCAAAGGGAAGGCGAATAGACTCATCCTTCGACTTCCGGAAGCGCGCACTGGCAACGCTCACGCTTCGCGGCTTCTTCTTAAGATGAGCTTGACTTATTACTCGGCGCATAACGGGAACTCCTTCTGATGTGCTCTTGGCCTTATGCTCGTTCGACAGGAAGCACCTTGTACACCTTCTACCCAAGGAACAGGAACGATTTGTCAACTTGCAGACCGACTCGGTGACTAAAATTTGCGAGCTGCGTGGAGGAAATAAATCGTCTGAAACGTCTTAGCAAATGGTGGTGCGACATGAATTTTGGATATGTACAAAGCGGCACTCGCACAACGTTCAGAAGCATCTGTCGTATCCCGATGAGCGGGATCTTCATTTTGTTGACGGGATTGAGTGAATCCATGGAACGTCTATTACGCGTGCTGCTGAACATCAGCTTGTTTGGGGAAAAAAAAAACCAGTCTTGGCGGGGCCCACACCCCATCCTCGAAAGCTATAAGAAGGGCACTCAAACGCACTGGTCACATCATCCAATCCTCTCTTCCCTTTCCTCTCTTGTATCCAACAACCTACACTCTTTGACCCCAGTCACTCGTTATCCTACAACCAAAAATGCAGTTCACCAAGTTCATCTCTTTCGCCCTTGCCTTCCTCTCCCTCGGGATGCTCGCCATGGCGGCTCCTCTCACCAAGGACGTTGCCCTCGCCGCTCGTTGCAACTGCAACGACGACCAGGTCCTTGACGTCCTCGTCGACCTCGATGCCCAGGTTAAGGCGGATGTGGCCGTCATCGGTGAGCGATTTGTTGATCCTGTCTCTTTGAAAGAGCTGACGTCTGTTTAGCTGCCCTCGTCGCTAAGGGTGATGTCAACATTGCCGACTACGAGGCTGCCATTGTTACCTTGACCGCTCACATCAACGCCGTTGTCGAAGTCTTCGTCCAGCTCCCCGGCCTCGAGGTCGGTGTCCAGGCCGAGGCCATCGCCCAGGCATGCGCTGACATTCTCATCGTACGTGTAACTTGCCAGCACTGGTTTCTACCTACTGACATGGGGATACAGGCCATCTTCGCTGTACTCAACACCTGCCTGTTCGTTCCCTCCTTCCTGAGCTGCCCATCCCTCGCCGGGCTTGACGCTGCCATCTCCGGCCTGCTCGTCGCGCTCAACGTCTGCGCTTCCGGTGTCCTCAGCATTGTTATCGGCCTCTGCCTCAACATCCAGCTCATCCTCACTGTCAACCTTGTCGTGTTCGTCAAGACCATTGCGGTGCTCCTTCCTCTGGGCCTGTAAAAGCCATTGGAGAATATGGGGTTCAGGTTATTTCTGGGTTGTCGAACCCTCGCACTGAGGAAACGACCAGAAGGAGAAACAATGCAGAATTGTACACCCACAAAATGTCAGGTTGTCTATCCGTTTTTTAAATAAAGTGATTACTCGAGTTGATCGCGTACGAAAGTTCTGGTCCGTGCGCGTTCTCAGAAGCACACTTAGAAGCAAGCCCGGCAAGTCTATTACTGCTTCTCCGTACGGCGGGGCATCCCTAAGGCTGTGTACCTTCCCCGTCGCGGGGTGGGTCACCAGGGAGCTCTGTCTTCGCGAAGCTCATCGCCGCGCGTCTAAAGTGCGTATATGTTTGCATTTTCCACGTAAACTCCTGCTGCTCAAATGGTGATCTTGTCTGGTGCCACATGAAACGAGAGAAGAAAGATACAAAGTGGAGAAACGGAAGGAATATTATACGCGAGGTGCCGTTGACCGCATGATCCACTTGCCGGAACATATGGTCTCCTTAGGGTTATAGGGGCAGGGGTCGCGTGAGGCCCGAACCTTGGATCCCCCACACAATACCCCTTTCTCTGCATTTGGTCCTCTTTTATTCTCCATCCCATTCATCAAACTATACCACTCACCGCATCTCTCCATCTCTCCGTCTCAACGCATTCACTATCGCATCGCATTTCCTTTCGTTCAACTCCGTTCTGGGTACGGGCATCCGGTGTTATCACGTGTCTTGCATCGACTACTCTGTCATCAACCGCATCGATTTATGACACTCCCTTGCATTGTCCTGCTTCTTACTCCCACGCGTCTGCGAACCCGGCGCTCCGCCTTGCTCTCCCGTATAAACACTCTGCAAGACATCATCTCCGCTCTGCTCAAGGAGAAGGCCCTCCCTCAGTCAGATGGGGACCGTGCGTTAGTTGGTCTGGCTGAGTACGTCAATTCCCTCATCTCTGGCGCGCAAGAGAAGAGCGAAGACTAACGCAGTAATGTGTAGGATCAGCACGGCGCTGGAGCACTCCGAAGGGAGCAGAGTATGCACGTTGTGGTATCTCTGGCAAGCGGAATCGAGGTTAGACGCGCTGGAGGAGCAACATGAGGTAAGCTTGTTTGCTTCGTTCTGTCATCGTTATCTCTTCATGACATCAGTGATGCCGCTTCCTTTGCCTTTGTGCTATCTTTTTCCATTCCATGTCGTCTGAAGGCTTTTACGGTGGATCCTTACGGGATCCACCAACAGCCTTTTCCCCCTTTCCCGTTCTTGCTGTCACGATCTTGCGGTTCAACCTCCTTCCTACAATTATGATCCTGCGTTGGTCATATGCTAACCTTTCCACAGGCAGCAATAACCGCCTGGCGCAGATGGACCGGTAGGGAAGTGAACGCAGAGAGTGGGTCATTCAATATCATCAGCCCCTTCTTTATCTGACACAAGACACAGCGCTGCCCTATCTGGATCGAAGATTATCAGAACGCGTCACACGGGAGAAGGGGCGGAGAGATAGGCGGGATGAGGACGAGAAGGACTTTGAGGAAGAGATGGGCATGGTCTAACTGGGATCGATTCCCCGCACTGTCTAGCAGGATGGCGCGTTGGAGCGTAAGGTTCCCCCCGACGACGATAGAGCCTGGGCACTTGCAAACCTCGACGGTGTACAGACCATTCCGGGCGCTTAGCTTCTCGCGGTGGGGGTCGTTCTGGGTATCAAAGCGAGGCAGGAGGGACGAGCCGTCGGTTCGTCGGTATTTGTATCTGTATTTATCTCGAGACTTGACGAGCATAGGGAGGATAGCATGATGGGGGTATGATGCAAGGTATCCGTGTACATTTCGGCCTACAGTCCTGCATGTTCGGAGACGCCGAGATTTGGGTTTGATCCCGTCTGGTAACACCGATCACTGTTTCCGCAAATAGAAGTTGGATTGCTTGATTAAAGGCGGCGACTATGTATTGAAGTGGAAGGATGATCTCGCCACCCACTTGATGTTGTCCATTCTATTGTCGGTATGCTAGACGTGTATATCTTTGACGAACGTGTCAACCAAATATTTGTCGCATCCATCGACGAAAATGCGACTATCTCCGACCTCATTGCTAAATGTAAAACTGAACGAAAGATATCTGAGAAAGCGTCGTTGATCGAATTATACCCAGTACGTGTCATACACTAGACTAACATATCAAGATGTCTAACCTCTTTTCTATTCAGCTGGAGAATGTCGTATATAGTGAAGACATCGACTTCGACGACAAGTGGGTCGACGACAGGCAACCCTGTTTGTCATTCGATCCTGTAAACGCGTTTGTGGCATCCACACTCGAGTACTCTGACCTGCCATTGGTGTCATTCTGCCTTGTAATAGGTGAATTTACCTAGGTGCAAACAACCTCCATATGTTACTCACCTCTTCGTTCTCAGCGCCTGACGACGCGGCTGGCCATCTGTCGGATTACAGTAATGAGCAAGAAGAAATGTCCATGGTGCTACGTACGCTCGTATATGCGTACGATGCTCAAGTCGCATCTCATCTGGTTTTTCCCACAGAGAATTTCCTTCGTGCGGTCGAGGCCGCGAAGTTCGAGACGGATCCTCCATCCAAGGAGATTACCGTCGACAATTGGGAATCCGAGCATAGGGGCGCAACGGGACGTCCCTACCACTTCCTCGGACATCCGATTGGCATATATGCACCCATATTCGAAGACTTCAAAGTCGCTCTGAAGACCACCACGCCTCTCGACTCGATCACCCCGAAGCAGTGTGAGCTTGCCCATGCCCTTATTCAGGAGGCCAACGAAATCGACATCGAAAACAGCGAACGCCGCAAAAGGATCATGTCTATCGTCAACCAATTGTTAGGCAGGGTCGCAGTTCGTATTCTCAACAACGACGATAGTTCTGAAGACGGGTGTATATTGGTTCCAACGGGAAAGGAGAAGATACTTCTCGTGGAAGCTGCGTTCTTTGACCTCCGTCCCGATATTACAGTTGGATACAAACATGCCAATCTCCATATTGCGGAGATAGCAAGAAGAGCCTGGATTCAGGACGAGGTAAATGTGCCGTATTCTGTGTTCCGGCCAGCATTGACGATTTCGTGTAGCGCAAACATCTGCGCAACGTCAGCTGCTGCCCATCGTTCCTTATCATGATCGCAGGACCGTTCATCCACGTTTTTGGTATCATCTTTGCCAGAGAGCCAACGACGGAATCATTTACAGGATTCATCTCGATCGAAATAAACAACCATCCATTAGAAAAGCGCATTGAAAGGGTGGTGCACCTCTTTCAATGCCTGAAAGACAGCATCTCGGCGCTCGAGTTATATTATTGGGATCTTACCTTGGACCAAACCCCAATGCCGAGAGCTCGCTTCCCCGATACCACTTCTCTGCCGTTAGATGGACACCAGCTCGAGTTTCGACGTCTCCTTCTCCAGGGCGACGCAGGCCGGACAACACCGATCTTCCTAGGAATGTTTGATTCCAAACCTTGCGTCGTCAAATTCGATCACACCTATGGCATAGAAGCACACATGGTCCTCGCCAAGGAACACCTCGCCCCAGAGTTGTTTTACCACACCCAGATCTATCATGAAAGCTTTTGACTGATTGCGATGGAGATTGTCAACGGAACACAACTGAATAAAGTGCCATCGGAAGGAAGGACATCAGTTTTAGATGATCTATCTCGAGCCGTCAAGCTGCTTTCCGACTCCGATCTTGTTCACGGAGATTTCAGAGAACCCAACATTCTCTGTATTGAAGAGGACGGTGAATGGCACGCGAAGCTGATCGACTTCGAATGGTCAGGGCAGGCGGGGACGGCTCGATATCCGATTTCGCTCAACGACACGGGTGAAATCAAATGGCATGAGACCGTGAGGCGTGATGGGATTATGGAACTGGCACATGACCAATACATGTTGCAGTTGTTGAAAAAGACGATGTAAGCGGCGAGACGTCACTTCCTGGCTTACACCGCACTCAATATGCTTCAAATGAAATCATACATGGCAGTTTGCAACTTTTTCAATCCTAATCCAATCTGTAGACCGATAACCGAGTCAATTCTTTTCATCCTGGTAGATGCACATGAAAGTGCTTGATCCTGTCATTCGAAGAACGATCCGAAGGGGCAAGCTCGGAAGGAAACATTCTTCAACGCTAAGCCAGATTGAACATGACCGGGAAACATGAGAGTCTTTTGCTGACCTTGTAATGAAGACACAATAGATTCGTAGCACGGTGAAGGTCTTCGGACCTGTGAACCACTGGCAAAACAAGGGGGTCTCTATTCGTATCGTATCTGTACTGAGTTGTATTTTGCGAGAACTGAGAGTTGGTACGTCCCCTCGAAGCTTGATTTGACTAAACACCTTGTGCTCAGTAGCATCATATAATCTTGGCTGATTGAGAGAAAATGGAATACTTCGTCTGCACTCGACAAGTGCTGTCGCATCAGCGCCTTCCTCCCCTGGACCGTTCCTTATGGTCATATCTGATGTGGAGTTGCCTCATCGTTGAATACCCTCAGAACATTCAAGGCACCTTCTTCTTTCAGTGTTCTCGGCCGACATGTATGTTTCAGTTAGCAACCGAATATAATATGCGTCAGGAGAACAACTTCATATGTGGAGTTCCACTTTCTCGCAGTCACGTTCCTGTGTTTAATATCCTCTTTTCGCCAGCATCGGCCGTTCGGAGTTCATCTCAACTCCAAGAGAAGTCTATTTACAGTAGAGATAATCATATGGTCGTTGGAGAGTCAGAAATGAGGCGCTTGGTGATCTAATCTAATCTCGAACCTTATCTCTGATTCAGGGAACCCGCCTACCCCTATTTGGGTCGGAGATTATCAGACGGAAAAGTGGGTAGGCAGAAACATGCCCGGACTCGTTTGAATCCGTTGTTGGGCGGGAACCATGCCATGTTTAGAACGACTATAGATATCCTTTGGAGCGGTGAAAGTTCGGACGGATGACGATGGGCGAAGGACATCAGCTGCCGGTTCTGATTGCGGCCCTACACGTACACGTGGGCGCCCGCCGATGTGCATCATGCACGCGTCTGGGGATCGCTGCGAACGCAGCAGACGGGATTATTCAATTGCGCGTATTAATATCTCAAGATATCTAGATACCTACGGGAATATGAGTTGGAAATGAAGCCGTGTCCGACAATCCCGAACATACAGTTCTTTTCCCAACTCATCTAGCGTCGTCATGGGCGCTTGCAGGGTCTCGCGTTAGTCTATGTTTGGTGTTGGTTAAGATTGCCCTGTCCGATGAACGGGGACGGCGCATGGGTGAATAACTTGAGAAGGGATATTGAGGGAGATGCCAAGCCCTTCCTTTTCTCAAGTCGAAGTGGAGGACAGAGTTTCTTATTTTTGCCCTTCTCGTCGAAACGGAGTCATGAGATGCAATCACTGCCGCAGCGTGCCGTCATGACGTGCGAGTTGTGTTCCCGCATCGGAGGATAATTCGGTGAAAGCAACGGTGAAGAAATGACCAAGCGCCGGCGGAAGGGCCCGAAGCGGAAGTTAAGTCGCGTGGCACGCGGCTTCGGTGCCTGCGGACGGCGGTGTCATCAGGGTCCACAAGACATTGTTTTGCCTTTCTGTCGACATGCAAATTAACATCAACGCCTCATACAACTATATATTCCTGCCCTCATCTGGAGTGCGCATGTTTGTCAATACCCCCCAAACTGGTGATTCCTTTCACCAACGACCACCAAACAATGTCGTCGACACCACCGGCACCCGCAGAACCAACCCTCGTTAACGTGCCTCTGCTCCCTGCTTCCACAGCAATGGGTAGTCTCACCCCACAAGACGTCGAGCTTGGGGACATGACGAAGGAGAAGGTTGCTCTCGCTCCGGATGAACAGCCAGTACCAACGAAAAAGGAGCGTAGGCTGAGGATAATCAAGCTTGCAGTCTCCCTCATGCTTCCTGTGTTCCTCGAGACTCTTGACCAGACGGTCGTCGCCACAGCACAGACCAGAATCGCGTCTCAGTTCAACTCCCTCGGAGAGCAGCAATGGTCAGTTCGATTACACCTCCCGTACACTAAACCCTAACCAAATACCGCAGGATCGGGACAGCTTATCTGCTCACAGCGACCGTTTTCCTCCCCATATTCGGGAGTATCGCCGACATTTTCGGACGGTATTGGGCCCTGCAGCTCGCTACACTTCTCTTCATCATCGGCTCCGCCATCTGCACAGGTGCGCAGAACATGATCCCCCTCATCATTGGTCGTGCCCTTTCCGGCATCGGCGCAGGCGGGCTTACAACCCTCGCACGAATCATCCTCAACGACTCTGGCAACCTGAAAGACAACAACACCCAGACTGCGATCCTCAGCTTGCTCTACGCAATCGGTTATGCCGTCGGCCCCGTCATTGGTGGTGGACTCGCAACCGCGAACTGGCGTTGGTGTTTCGCTATCAACCTTCCCTGCTGCGTACTCGGCATGCTCGCATCCTACTTCTTCCTCCGGCACCACCCAAACCCTGCTGCGCCCCCACCCGGGACGACCGCCATCCAGAAACTCCAAAAGATAGACTACGTCGGCGCATTCCTGTTCGTCTCAGGCGGCGTACTCATCATCCTCGGTCTCTCTTGGGGCTCTCAAGAAGAGTGGAATGAACCCAGGGTCATCGCTGTCTTCGTCGTCGGTGGTGTCCTTGTCATCCTCTTTTACCTCTGGGAACGGTTCCTGGAGCGTCGTGTCGCTGGGCCGCACAAGGAGGTCGCTTGGCTCGCTGAGCAGCCTATGATCCCTGCAGCTTTATTCAAGGACCTCGACGTGATCGCTACCAGTGTGATCATCTTCGGTGGCGGGATGCTTATGGTAGGTCCCTCCAAGCTTCGTTTCACAGCAAGGCGCTGACATGCGTGTTCCCGTAGTTCGGCATGTTCTACTTCGTCTCCACCTACTTCATCATCGTACAAGGCTATTCCCAGATTCGCGCCGGTCTCGTCCTTCTCGCCTTCACCCCAGGTCTTGGGGTCGGAGTCATGATCTCCCGCCGCGTCATCCTCGTGACGAAGCAGGCGAAGTACGTCTGCGTTGTGGGGGCCTTCCTCGCACCGATTGGTGCGGGTCTTACCGGCATGGCAATGCAGAACGGGAACACCACTGAGCTATATGTGTTCACTGCCATTGTCGGACTCTCATGCGGCCTGGTCATCCCCAGCACCGCAATCCAACTCCGGTTCACCCACCAGTCGGACGAAGTCGCCACCGTCGTCGCGCTCAGCATGTTCTTCCGCACGATGGGCGGCACGGTAGGTCTTGCTCAGATGGGCGCGGTGCTCAACGCCAAAGCACGAGACTCTCTCCTTGCTGCTGCCTATTTGGGCCAGTATACCGCTCAGGAGATCGGAGAGGCCATCGCCGCGCTCGTCTCGCAGGACCTCATCCAAGGCCTTCCAGAACACGTTCTCAACCTGGTGAGAAGCTCCATGTCCAACGGTGTGTACTGGAGCTTTATCTCTCTCATCCCTTGGGTCGGCGTGGGCGCTCTCATCTCCCTTTTCATGTCTCGGCACCTCATGTTCGAGGAGCCTCAGAACTAGGCCCTGTAATTCTTCTTGGAGAACGCAAATTATCCCTCTCCAGGCACACTTTTTTGGGGCTTGCGTATTTGTTATATCAAGATGTATTACTAGGATAGTCCCTCTAATGATTCACGTTGTTCATGAGCATATGCATCTATGAAGAGGTCGATGTCGCTGTCTGGACCAGTGCTCTCACTACGCACTCTTTAGAGGTATGATCCTACTACCGTCTTGTGCAATGCTAGGAGGTTTGTAGACCCCCCAACCGAATCCTTCCACTGCCTGAGGCATGCATGTGAGGGGGGATCATGTGCTGTTTCTGAGGCGCGGTGACCACGCATCTCCGTTAATCTGTACACAATGGTGAATCAACAGCCATTGTTAGTGAAAGAGGACCGTGCCTCGCTCAGTTCATTCCGAAATCCAAATTCCGGTCCCAATATCATAAATTCTCACCTCAATTCTTAAGAGGGCTAAAGAAGACTCCTTCGGAATTGACAGAGCTAAAGCATGTTTCATTTGGGCGACATTGTAAAAGAAGATTGTATGTAACAGGAGCGTTGACGAGTTCCGCGCTCGTGTTTTTCGTCATGAGAATTGGTCAGCTAGCGAAGCGAGGAGAAACAGGCAGGAGATACAAGTGGATAGGACTGGAGTGAAAGAGTGAGAAACGAAAAGAGGAGGAAGCGCTGTCAACGGGAAACGGGTCGGTGATCATTCGCCTGCGTGAATGGAGTGCCCCTATCGCCCGGCCGAGATCATGTGGTCTTGTCGGATCGTACAATATGATTCTCAAACGGCACATGAGCAAGCCGTAGCTCACTCAGTCGATGGATAACCTTCTCTCCAGAGCTGCTCCTCCCTCCATGCCGCCTGCGGCACCTTCCTTCTCAGGATCGTAGTCGCTGACCTTCCGCGCTAGCTTCGCCCTTGCGACACGCTCAGGGGCGGTCTGGTGTGCTTGTTTAAGGCCGCAGCCAAAGAAGAGCAAGCACCGAACGCCAATACCAAATGTAGCGCCGAGCATGAGGCTACATGCAATTGCTGTTTGGGAGATGCTTAGCATTGGACGGAGAATTGTAGATACGGCTTACAGTAGAAAGTTAAGGTACCCCGGGTTGTCGTGTAGATGCCCGCTTGCGGTCCAACCCAGAACCGAGTCATCTTGTATAAGATATATGCCATCGCAGCCCCCATAAGGAAGAGGGAAATGATCATGACGCTCCGGATCTCTCTCTTGGCTGCTAGACCGCAACCAAAGAGGAGAACGAGGGATACGGGGATAGCGGCGATGGTGAGGATATGCTGTACGGTATCTCCCGAAAGGTCGAGAATGGTGAGCTGCATGGTCAAGGCCAGCACAGCGAAGTAGTCGAACTTGAGCAAGCAGACTAACACCTCATGGAATCGGTACATGTCTGTGGAGAAGTCAGAGAGGAATTGTGAGGGAATGAAAAGCGATGCGCACACTTGATCTTCGGGTCTGCTCCTATGATGTGAAACACCGCCCAACCAAACTCTCCAAAGAGGCGTCTGGTGCACCAGCAGTACACAATGAGGGCGAGGAAAATGATAATGGGTACAACAATGAGGAAGCGCTCAACGATGTTGAAAAGGTCCATGCAAGTAGCAACGTGCTGTGACTGGCAATCGCTGTATTCGAGTGCGATCCTCACTTCACGGATCTGTATTCCGGAGAAGACGATGAGACCACCTGTAAATAAGACCATCCCCATCAGAGTGATGACATTGCGATTCCAAAGCGCGTCGAGGGTGATATAGATGGTGAATATGCCTGCAAGCGCGAAGACTGAGAAGTAGCACGGAAGTGTTTTGTAGGGGGTGAGGGTATTATTCGCGATGTCTGCTTCGACAAAGGCAAAAGAGAGGGCGGCCAGGATAACGACAACTGTGCTTTGCACAACAACACATGAGAACAGGATTTTCTGAGCCCGAGTGCCTAGGAATTCTTCGATAGCCATGTTCAAGGAGGTGGTCGTCGTCCGTAGATGATAACAGCCAGGGGTGATGCAAAGCAATTCAAATAAATGAGGAAATTAAATGTATGGTACCAGGTGCACTGCTCCCACATGCCTTGGGCTAGGGATCCCCGGTTCCGCACAATGGGCTCCGATCGCAATATTGCAATAATACATTTTTTCTCGGTTGAAACGCCTATTTTGTGGCGGTTTTCAGTTTCAGAAGAATGAAACGATTGAGAGCTGTGCCTCAAATCTTCCAAAATAGCCGTGGTTACCAAATCAAGTGGTGGCTATGTCCTTGGGCATGCTAGGGTCTTCCACTTGCATATATGTCGGGAGCAAATCTCTGAATCAAACTGAGCCACCAATCCTTCCTACATCCGAGCCGCATTCTAAACTTACATTACCACACTACTAGTATTAATATGGTAAAGACAGTTGTAGGATGGGGTAATACTCCGTATGAACCAACACTGCGGGGAAGGAGAATGGAAGGGAAAGCCAGAGATCTAGGTGGAAAAAATTGCATTGATTGGTATATTACATTGGAATAAGCATTCATGACGAGGAAAGTACAAGAATTCAGACCGACGAGCGCCTATCTCGCCCAACCGCCTCGGTGAGGGAGATTCACTAATGCTACAAATGCGGTGTACATGCTGCTCGTCCTCCCTCGCTCAATACACTACGCCTTTCCGAGCCAGTAGATGGGGCAGTTACATGGTCCTCAGTCAATGGATAACCTCCTTTCCAAAGGCAGTGCACCGCCCTTTTTCTCATCTGAGTCGCCGATAAACTCTTCCTCATCAGGCTCGCGGTAGCTGGCCCTACGCATGGGTTTGGCCCTCCTAGCACGTTCAGAGGCGGCCCCCTGTGCTTCTTTGAGGCCGCAGCCAAAGAAGAGCATGCACCGGATGCCAATACAAAATGTAGCGCTGAGCATGAGCATGGAGACGACCGCTGTTTGAGAGAGGTGTCAGACGGAGAATGGAAGCAGGAAAATGGACTCACTGAAGAAAGTGAGAGTAAGCCGGTTCGGAACGTAATCACTGACGTATCTGCCAATATAAAACTGAGTGGTCTTATACAGGATATACCCAAGCGCCGCTGCCATGATCACGAGGCAGATGATCATGACGATCCGGTTCTCCTTCTTGACTGCCCAGCCACAGCCGATGAGGAGGGCCAGTGATACGGGGATAGAGGCGATGAGGATGAGGTCCTGAATCGGATCACCCCCTAGCCCGAGGATGAGGAGTTGCAGCGAGACCGCCAGCAAGATGAAGTAATCGAACTTGAGTAGACAGAGGAATGCTTGATAGAATCGATACATGTCTGGAAAGAGGTCAGACGAGAGCTGTAGTGAAACGAGTTAAAGGTGCGCACGCTTGATCCTGGGATCGGCCCCTATCGTGTGGAACACCGCCCAACCAAATTCTCCAAATAGATGCTTCATGCACCAGCTCTTCACAACGAGGGCGAGCAAAATGATGACGGGTACGACGATGAGGAAGCGCTCGACGATGTTGAAAAGGTCCATGCAAGTAGCAACGTTTTTCGACTGGCAATCGTTGTTTTGAGTGAGTTGAACTTCTCGGACCTCGGTACCGGGGGGGAAGCAGAGAGGGGCCGTGAAGATGAGCATGCCGACGAGCGTAATTATGTTACGATTCCAAAGGGCGTCGAAGGTGATGCACAGGGTGAATACGCCTGCAAGTAAGAAGAGCGCAAAGTAGCAGATGAGTGTTCTGTAGATGGGAAGTGTGCTGTTGGTGACATCTGCTTGGAAAAACCCGAAACAGAGGGCTGTCATGGTGATTGCGAGTAAGCCTTCGAGGACGACGCAGCGAAGAAGACCTTCTGAGTTCGGCTGCCCAGGAATCCTGCGATAGCCATATTGGGGAAGTATTGAGAGGGGAGATTGAGGGGATGTCGTCCATATTTAAAGAAATAGAGCAAGTCGATGCAGACCAAAGTACTGTATTGTACGAGGCACAGAGGGGGGGGGTTGACCGAGCATGTTTGACCACGTAAGGGCACACAATGTATGGACGGCCGTGCTCGTTTGTCTATAAGCAACCCGAAGGGGCGTCTCTGACAACACAGCATCACCCTTGTATTTTTATTTCAAACCACCACCCGTCTCAAAATAACATCTTTTCTTGGTTGCTCTATGTCATTCTAAGCAATTACTACCCACCGTTGCTTTCATCCTTTGTCTTACCTAACTTCATCGGCTGTGTAGCAACAATATGTAGTGAGGCAACAGGTATGGTCCACTTCGTCCTTCTCGGACGATCAAGACCTGTGATCACAATGAACGTGCCCCTCAACACTGCAGACTGTACCTACCGGCAGTACGGGTTATCCAGAAGATGCGATACGTCTCTTCATTCGCTGGCGCAACTTTGTAACCTCTGAACGCTCCTTTCGGCTTTTGACAGAGGACAAGGCAGGAAACCTCTGTGACCGTCCAGGAAGCAACAGAGTCAGCGGAAGATGGAGAGGGTACAGAGGCGATAGTGACGGCGGCCTCATAGGCGACGACGAGAGGGACCGATGGCGACAACATGCTCTCTCGCTGGCGCCCGCTCCATACATGGGCCCGGTTGGAACTTCAACAAGCAAGAAGAGCTCTTCTCCCCTGAGAAAGGACTTGCAGAGTACGCAGTCACTGCGGCATGTTCTTCTGGATTCAGCCATATATTTCCTCCTTTTCATGTTCCTGCGAAGGTGCACGACAACACCCCCCTCTCCGCGACGTAATGGTATGGACGCTCTCTACTTCAAAGAACATGCCTCGTTTGGGTTACATTGCAAACTATGTATCTTGGTAAAAGTCTTGGGTAATCCCACACTCGTATTTCGCCGTGAGAACAACTAGGTAAGCGAAAGGGGAATACAATGGAAAGGGTTGGATGGAACATGCGAGTACATTGGTGTAGAGCGAATGAAGAGAGAAGAACGAAAAGAGTACGGTAGCACAGTAAGCGAAACGGGAAAGGGGGGGAGATCATCTGCCTGGGTAAATGTCGAGCGCCTGTCTCATCCAGGCAGGAACGTCGTCTGGTTTAGGGCTACAAATCCGCCATCCGTACTGGCCTTCCTCCGTACATTACACCACCATTCCAACCAGCGTGAGGAAGACATCGCTCTTACTCAATAGAGAGCCTCCTTTCAAGAGGTAGTGCAACACCTTCCTTCCCGGCTGAGCTACTGACGAACCCTTCCTCTGCGGCATCTCTGTCGCTGGCCTGATGCGCTAGTTTCGCCCTCTTGATGCGCTCAGGGGCGGTCTCTTGTGCTTGCTTGAGACCGCGGCCGAAGAAGAGCATGCACCGGATGCCGATACAGAATGAGGCACCAAGCATGATGACACAGACGATTGCTGTTTGGGAGAGGCCTTAGGTTGGATTGAGGAAAGGGGGGAAATGAGCTCACAGAAGAACGTTAGGGTACCGCGAGTTGTTATGTAGGTGCTGGCGTGCGGTCCTACCCAAAACCGGGTCACTTTGTACAAGATGTACGCCATGGCGGCGCCCATGAGTAGAAGGGAAAATATCATGATGCTCCAAATCTCTTTCTTCACCGAGTAGCCGCAGCCAATCAGGAGGATCAGAGAAACCGGGATGGCGATGATGGTGAGATAGTATTCCACGGTATCGGTCGATAGATCAAGAATGACAAGCTGCATGGTGAGCGCTAGCACAGCGAAGTAGTCGAACTTGAGTAGACAAACGAAGACTTCGTAGAATCGGTACATGTCTGTGAGAGGTGAGACGAGAGTTGCGAGAATGGAAGGAAGTGCGCACGCTTGATCCTCGGGTCTGCACCAATAGTGTGGAACACAGCCCAACCAAACTCTCCGAAGAGGCGCATCGTGCACCAACCATAGATAGCGAGGGCGAGGAAAATGATAATGGGTACGACGATGAGGAAGCGCTCGACGATGTTGAAAAGATCCATGCAGGTGGCAACGTGTTCTGCTTGGCAATTGCTATAAGCAAGAGCGATGCGTACTTCACGGATCTGTATGCCAGAGAAGACGCAGAGGCCGCTTGTGAAGAGGAGCATGCCGACCAGCGTGATGATATTCCGATGCCAGAGTGCGTCGAGTGTGATATAAAGAGTAAATACACCGGCAAGTACGAAGAGAGCAAAATAACATGGAAGCGTTTTGTAGGCGGACTGAGTGTTGTCAGCGACGTCTGCTTGGACAAAGCCGAAGGAAAGGGCTGTCAGGATGATTAGGAGTGTACATTCCACAAGAACGCATGATAGAAAGAGCTTCTGAGTCCGGGTGCCCAAGAAAGGTTCGATAGCCATTCGAAGGATATGAAGGTGTTGAAGTAATTGTCGTCAATAGATAGAGAAATAGAAAAGCAAGTTAGAGCAACACAGGCTGAGCGCCTCCAAAGCGGTGGTGGTGGTGGTCGATGTCCAAAGCGCGTTTGACTGAGCAGAGGGAATGTGATGACAGAGTGGACTGCCAAGACAAGGGTCGAAGCATATCAGCACAGCCTATTAAATTGGCTCCGAGGCTGTGGGGATCAACGGGATCAAAAATACCGTACACTTCCGAGAAAAACGGGCGGTGCGCGCGTTACGACACATGAGCAACGTTAACCTTCTCGTTCTCATGGCTAGCTCTAACTTGGTCGGAGTCGTGCATTGAACATCTCAGAGAATCTGCGATGAACATTCGGAAAAATATCTGGCGTTCGCAGCAAACACACCCCGTGTTCCGGACGTGGCTTGGGCGACATTGTGCCCAAACCCATACGAAATCTACCAAATGCCGTTCTCAAGTGCGATTATGAGAAGCAAGAAACGAATACATGATATCTCCCGACCCAACTAGAATTTCTCCTCGCTTGTGGTCGCAGATATGTACTGTTCAGTGGATACGCCAAAATGCCAATCAAAAGTCTTGCCAGTCTGATCAAGTATGTTAAAGAGCTCAACCTTGCGGATTCGGTCCAGTTTAATTTTACGTTGGAGAGGCCGAATCCTCCAAACTCTTCTTGTTGGTATTCTTTCCCCCAAAACAGGGGTAAGTAATCTCACCAGTATATGCCATCTGATGCTCAAGTTATGGAAGCCTGGCACGATCGAAATGCATCCCGTTGTTTGCTGGGATCTCCAATATTGAAGGTTGACCCAAAAATGCAATAGGACATTGCAGCGTATCTTGGGCATTTACAGGGGAACCCTCCTGGGCAGAACACGCTTATTTTTTCAGGATAGGATATAAATCTCCGTTTAAACTACCCATCCGACCCTAGGACAGGTCTGGTGAACACGCAGTGAATATTTCATTCGATGTTTTGGTTTCTCCAGTTTCTCCAGCTAGGCTGCTTATGCAATGTACCGCGGACCTCGATCAACTCCTTGGCGGGGAGGTCCGAGTTCATTGCAGAACGATCCTGGAGAGCGCGACAACGTCCAACGCATCGCAAAAGAGGCGGACCGGCAGAGGACCAATGTCAACTCTGACAATTTAAACGACTAGTTAGACCGGCTGTCTGCGGAGAACCCAGAACTGGTGTGGGCGGTGTTTCAGTATTGCGACCAACAAGAGAAGTGAGAGGAGTGACCGACCTGATGGGAGTGAATATTCTGTTTCTGTGACGAGACACGCCCTTGGTGTATGACAACCGCCTGCCGATTAGATAATCTTTTCTTTAATAATTTGGTCATGGGGTCGCGGGAATGGGGGATAGAACCCTTTCATGTCAGCTATCCGAACCCCGAGGAGCTTCCGAAGGAGCCGAAGAGCGGTGCCTGATAGCGAATAGCGTACGTCAACTTCCAACTCCAACTTGTTCTTCTCCTCAACCTCTTCATTACTCTACACTCTCAGTCCTGCAAAGGATTGCAGTATAAGTAGAAATGGTTAACATACCACAAATAAAGACACCCTCACGAGGATCATTCAAGCTAAAGCGGTATCATGGATACCAGGTCCTCCTCTTCATATTTGGTACCATATTTCCACCGCTAGGTATGCCCTCCACTCAGTGTTCAGATCATGTCGTCGCTCACGCACACTCCCCAGCTGTCGCAGCTCGCTTCGGCATTGGATCAGACTTCTTCCTCAACCTCGTACTCACCCTCTGCGGGTACATCCCCGGCCACGTGCACAACTTTTATATCCAGAACATCCGCAATAACAAGAACAATCGCCGCACGCCCAAGTGGGCCATCCGCTACGGTCTTGTGAGCGACGAGCATATCAAGAAGAGCAAGCGCAAGAGCGCGTGGGCGAATAGATATGAGGAACGTCTGCCTCAGAGCACGTACGAAGGACGCGAGGTCGAGGATGGGCAGGTGCCTGACCCTGCTTCCCGGCCGGATAGTATGGGCAGCACTGGTAGCACAGGCAACGGAGCTGCCGTGAGAAGAAGTGACAGTCGAGGGAACACTCTCTGGAGGGAGGATGATGAGAGCTTCTATTCGAATACTGAAGAGACGACCACCACAGGGAGATGGCATTATCCTGGTACGTCGGTCCTTTTGTTTCCAGCCTCCTCTCACTCACCTCCCCTCAGCCAATTTCGAGGACACGGAAATAGTTCCTGATGTCTCCCGCAAGCGCAAGAAGAAGAAGTCTACCCGCTCTAAGCGTGACCGTTGGGAACGGTCTGAGGACGCGTACGCAGCCGCAGCCGCGCCACCCAAGAAACGCAAGTCAACACGCCGGAGGAGCGGGAGCGAGGGCGCCGATGGGCCGGAGGACCCGCTCGGTGCTCATTATGGACGTGCTGGAGATGGAGAAAGGCAAAGATCAGACAGCTTGGGCGAGAATGGGGGGAGCTTTGGGGAGAGCGAGATGAATGGAGCGGCTGTGGGGGCAACCCAGAGAGACCCGCTCGCACACGATTTCTAGCAGTGCTCACCCACGACTTTCGGTGCGCTCGCGCCTCCTGCCACATCCGCTGTCGTCGTCCGCGAGCCTGTTGGACCTCCCTGTCTATGTTGTGCTATTCTCTTCGCTCTTCTCTTACGAGTGTCCTGCAATTGGCCGGCCCAGACTTCAAGACGCGACCAGCGCAACCAGCCACGTTGGTCTAACTCGGTCCCATGCACGCTGTCCTTGTCCTGCGACCTCCTTTCTCCACTGTCAATCAAGTATCCATATGCCGAACCTGTCATCCCATCGATGCATATTTCAGCCTTCCTCTTCGGTCCAAATCCCAGTTAAAGTCTTATTATTCCGGGTTTCTTTCATTCACCTTAGCAGTTGGTCTGTGACTCCTTCCTTGTGGTGATCCCTTCGTTTGCACCTGTTCTACCGTTTGTTTTGTAGCTTGCACCTTTCCCGTTCCTCTGCTTGTGTTATTTACCCCCTTTGTTCTCAGTCGATTCGTTTCTATTCATCATCATGATTTATTGGGCTCTTTGTTATTCCGACTTTCGGGTAAGAATAGAAAATACGATCATGTTGTGCCACTACTATCGCACGAGGCAAGCCCTTTCATCGACACGCAGAATGAACAAGATGCAAATGATAGGATTAGTACATGCGTATTATACAAATGCTTGATTAGAGACTACCGCACAGGCACACTGCTCCCCACTAATAGCAGGCCGAACCGTGCGCTGGGCTTGACGACATCCAACGGGTTGCCCACGTCTGTGTCGATCGCCTGCGCTGGCGTGCCGAGTCCCAGCAGCTGCTCAGGCGTTTTGGATGTGCCAAGTAGGGGCGCGAAGAGTACTTGGGTGCGTTGACGTTGCGTCTTCACAGAACTGGTGATTGCCGATTGAAGGTCTTCCGCTGGGTGTGACGACGAAGAGGCGACAGCATTCCGCAAACGATCTGCAGTGACCGCTAGTTTGTTCCCTTTCTTCGGAGGGTTCTGATTTGTGAGCGCTGACACGAACTCGACGTCCCACAGTGCTTGTGCGGCTACCCTGTCCTCGAAAGCGTCTACGTCCGCTAGCAATTCTGCTATCGCTGCTTGGTACTCGACTAAAAGACCCGTGACGACATCATCGTGTCCTCTCTGACTGCTTGCTATGCCGAGCTGGACAACAGATTGCTTGAGAGAAAGGAGGGATTGCACCAGGGCCGAGGAAGGTTGAGAGGGAATGCCAGACGTTGACGCTAGGTGATGGATCAGCCTATTTCCGAGCTCCAGCACCGATCTGTCTCACATAATGGCACGCGTCCCCATTGGCCCTTGGACATGGGACCAAACTCTGTCAACGCCTTCCTTACGGATGCCTTCCTCCATTGGGCAAACGATGCGCGATGAACTTCCTCGAACTCGGTCTGGTTGTCTAGGAATGCCTGTGAGTTTGTTCGGCCAAATGCTAGATCTGGCAACAAGCTCGACGTTTCCGAGATGATCGAGGCCAGTCGACCAATCAGGGAGATCACGTTGAAAGCCGTGTCTCCTGAGGGATAATGAGAGACAGCCGGACTGAGAATGTAGCTCGGCATACCAAGTTCCTCTTCTTCCAACACTTCCTCTTCTACCAAACCCCGCATCCTATCCGCCAACCTGCGGCAGGTCGAGCTCGCAGCAGGCATATGTTCATCTAACATCTGATTGAGCTGCTGCGTTGCTCCAGCATCTCCCAGGGTCTGGAAGTCGTCTCGGAGCTCTTGGGCCTTCAGCTCTAACTGAGCGAGTACTGACTGGACCAAAGGTGTCCTTCCCTTCGCCCGGTGTTGTAAAGCAGTGTGATACCTGCGGAAGGAGTTGAGGGCGATAGTCGAGTTTGCTGCCGAGATCGGTGGGACTGCGGGCAACGAGAGATCCGCGGCGAAGAAGAACTTGAGCGGCTTGACATCTGCCTGGCTGTCCTCTGCACCAGCCCGGATGAGCTTAGCAGCACGCTCCAGCTCCAGCTCCGCCGCTTCCTCCAAACTGTCTAGGCGTGCTTTCCACACCTCCGTCGCTCGCGCCTTGCAACTCCGTTCCATCCACGCTCTGAGCCCTCTTCGCTCCTCTTCCTTGAAATGCCCATCCTTCGCTATCCTCTCCGTAACTACCTTGCGCACATCCCAAATCTCTTTGATACTATCGAGCACGGCCATCCATTGGTTGGAGTGCTCCTCAAGGGTGGTGATGCAAGAATTGAACCAATCGCGTGTCTTTTGTCGCAAGATAGTGTTCTGCACATGGTTGAGCGGGGAGGAAGTGTCAATATAAGGCTTGAAGGACTGGATCGCGGACGGAAGGAAGCGCAGTAGCAACTGTGCGGAAGGGAACGAACGAAGCATGACGGGTGTTGAGATCCGTGACTTAGTCACAGGCTTGAGCACCTCCGTACGAGTTGGTGGGGACAAAAGGGATCTACTGCGAGAGAGGCCATCCATCGACGTAGAGCCCAGTGGTCCCCCCGGCGTCAGGGGCGAAAAAGCAGAGTCATCATCTGCATCTCCGGATTGGATCTTTTCCATCATCTCCTCGATCAGGGAAACGGACTGTCCATCCTCGGCACCAAACACTTCTCGCACCATACCTAGAGTCCCAGAGATGAGAGCAAGAGCGGTGGTTGCGGCGCTTTTCACTTGCTGGACAATCTCCGCTCGTCGGAGTGCGACTGGCTGAGGTACGGAATCGATTCCTGGTGTGCTCGGCTGGCCTTCCACCTGAGCTGTCGCCTCGAGCACAGGCTTGTCGTTCGTCAGCTGAACAGAGAGCGCTCTGCTCCGTTGGGAGAGAAACATTGACAAGGTATCAGATAATGGGAGGGTATCAAGCAGCAGGATAGTAATGAGCGTTTCGCTGAGTGTTTCTGCGGTCTGTTCCGGTTCTCGAAGTGACTGGGTGGCTCGTTGTGAGATCTGTGAGCGGAACTGACTAACAGTGTCCCATTGTCGTTGCATGATCGGGAATTGACCCTAGGAAGCAGTTTGAGCATGTCAAGTTCCTGCCGTAATGGGTTAACGTACCAGTACGTCAATCCCTAATCGTGCCCATCTTGTCTGTTCCGCATCCTCGTCTTCGTCGTGTTGTACCAATGCTCGATAAACTACCCGAGAGAGGAGGTATAACCATGCAGCTTGCAGATGCCGTTTCCTCTCGAGTAACCGCCAGAGGTGCTCAGGTGCGTCAAGCATCAGCTTGAGATGCGCAGAGAACTCGTGCAGTATCGGGAGCTGGGTGTCTATTCCTTCATTCAGCATACATTCCACTGTGACGAGGCATATACGCCCACCGACTACGGAATATCTCCTCGAATGACCTCCTTTTCGCTTCTCACGGTTGAGTGCTTCCCCCGGCTCTACAGAGCACAGATGTTTCATCTCTGTTAGTGAAGTGCGTACATGTCGTGCACTCTCGGCGATGGAAATGATACTGGTCGAAGCTTGCAGGAGGTCGCGATATCGTTCGCTGTTCTCATGTTAAGGAATAACAACGAAGCTGAGTATATGCGCTCACCCAACCATCAACCGCAGCTCTTCCTGCTTCGCATCCGCATCGTTTCTGTCAATGAATCAGATTATTAGTACAGCCTTTGTCAAGGTGCGTTCACGTACTTGAGTTTCGCTCGTATAGCCTTCACTTCAGGCACTGTATGCTTCACAAACACCTCATCGGGATCCATGCCCGAATCTTCCGGTTTCCAGCTGGCAGTGAACTTGAACGCATTCACCGCTGTGCCCGGGGTACGGGCAGTCGACAAGCCCGGAGACACAGCACCTGAATGTCCATTCGTGCTCTTACTGTTTCCGGTAGAGATGCCAAGCGCGTTCGAAGTCGCAGTAGCGGTGACCGTCGCTGTAGACGTCGAAGTTGAACTCCCATTCGCTACAGAAGCAGATATTCTCGGTGGAGGAGGGATGGAGATCGTAGGCTTCGCTCTGCGATGGCGGGACATCGCGAGAACGTTGCCTGAGCAGGCACTATGCGGTGTGATATGCTAGGAATTGGCTGGAGGCGCTTCACACACGTCCTCGAGGATGGCACGTCGAACAGCACTGCCACTAATTGAGAGATGTCTTCGATTAAGTATTCAGTTACTGAATTTATCTTAGGTTATGCCTTCTGTAAATAGAGTACTAGTATGCTCCTTTGAAGAGAATCAACTCCGATATCAAAAAAGCCCTCTTCTTTGGCAGAATTTCAACCCTCTCCCTCTAGTCTCGACAACATTCCAACATCTTCCAACGTTTTCTTTCCCGATTCAAGCGGCGACAAATACCCCCGGGCCGATTCCAACATCATGTTATCCTCTCGCCGCCAGGGGAGATTTTCCTGAAATTTCTATTCGATCACTGCCAGTCATTTGATTCCTAGTTCAAAATCACAGGAATAAATGGCACTGGTATCCAAAATGAGCTCTATCGATACATCCCAGTCACCCTATGGATCGCACTAAAGTACGTCGCCTCACCGCGTCTTCTCACCTCTAAGCGGCGGGGTAGACACAGAAGGCTCGTTCTCCTCTCTTTCCCGCTCCCTTTCTTCCCTCTCCTTCCTCCATTTCCCGCCCCACCGTCTTACCGCCTCCAGCGCCAACGCCCCCACCGCCGTCAGGCATGCCAAGATAGTCATGAACCACCCCGTGCCTATACTTCCCGTAGCGCTAGGTACGACAGCAGCGACGACCACGCCCGAGAACATCCGACACAAGTTGTGCACCGCGACCACGCTCGCTGCTTTCCCCGGTACCGCCTCGGAGTAGTATGCGATTATAGGCGAGTTGGTGAGCTGCATCCCTAGTGCGAAGAAGAATATCCCGACCAAAGGGACGATCCAGAACTGGCCAGTCTGGATCGTCCACCCGTAGATGAGCAATTCTATGGGAACAAAAGGCACGCCGAGCCAGGAGACGCGTAGGCGTACTTCGGGCCGATAGGCGTCCCCCATCTTCTGCTTGGCACGGATGACGACCATATCGCTCAGCTTTCCACTTGTTAGGCTGCCTAGGATCCCACCTAGACAGCCGGCGATGAACACAAGCCCAATGCTGACTTGGGAAAAGTTGTATGGCGGCACGGCGAATTCGTATGGAAGATCGGTGGAGTACGCGAAGGTGCAGGAGAAGCAGATGCTGATGTAGAGCGTCGTTAGTCCTATCGGGGGGAAAGCGAGATATTTGAGCGACTGGAGTGGGAGGAGACAGTGATTGAACGTTTCTTCTGCGAGGAGCTTGTGCCATTTCTTTCTTCGGGGTTCAGAGTCGGTCGTCGGGGATGGGAGGATGTGCATTGCTGCTTGTCGTGCTTTCAGCCCGACGGACGTCTCGGGAAGGAAGACGAGGATCATGAGCCACATAGCGACGCCGTATATTGCCAGAAACCACGCGATCGCTCTCCATCCTCGCCACTGGACGAGCAACCCGCCAAAGATGGGCGAAGAAGCGGACCAAGGTTGGGGAATATGTAGTATACTCCGAAAGCCCGACCGCGCTGGTTGGGGTAAAAGACATCCGAGAGCGTGCCAGCTCCGACACTGTGTGCGTGAGCTCACTTCCTGGCATTCACATTATGAAAAACGCACCTCTGTGCAGTGGAGCTCCCAACCGCCTGCAGGAATCGCAAGCCGATAACAGCACCGATCGTGTCCGCACGAGCGATCCCAATAGAGGAAACGACAAATATGATCGTGGTGTATACGTATACCGGTCTGCGTCCGTATCTTTCTGACATGTATGCGTGCCACATAGGACACGCCCCTAGCGCGAGGAGGAATACCGTGCCTACACAGATCAGCCGTGCTCCACTGTACGAAGAGAAAGCGGCACGCACTGGTCAGTTCACCTCGGTCTTCGTAGCGTCCATCGTAGCAAGCATAATATCAAACGCGGGAAGAAACGCGTTGCTACAGAAGGGCGCTGCGAGAGTGATGATAGACACAACGCAGAGGATGACGATCTTGACGTGCATGGAATACTGTTTCGGATCCTGGAGGATGGGGAAAACGGTGCCTGTGTCGATCCATCTGCGGCTAGCAAGTTCGGTCTGTGCTTTCCTGGGGCTCGGGGATGGGGGCACCTTCCCTGGGGCGATCTGAGGGGTGCAGCTGTTGGAGTGCACGGGCGTGGGAGAGTCATCCCCCGCAGAAGACGAGTCCAGCTCAGGTAGTGTTGGAGGCATCGTCTAACCAACAACAGTGAACAGTAAACAGTCAAATATCAAGCAATATCAACACATCTCCATATCATAGCGTAGCAGCAGTAGCACAGCTGAGTATTAGTATAGTCAACGCAGAACAACGAATCCCACCGAGCATGGACCGGTATATACCGCCCAGATGAGCTGACCGAGCACCAGGCCGCTGGCAAGCCGAGCCGTCAGCGCATGCTCCCAATAATAGAGACTGCGTCTCCGAAAATGCTCCGGGCCCGAACCTCCGGGCGGAAACTGGCTTTCGGCCTCGAGCTCTGTGTGACAGGAATGGGATGATGCATCGGGCGCGGACGCGAGCGCTCGCACGGCTGGAATCTCGGCCGGCAACTCGGCAGCTCGGCATGTACAGCTCGGCATACCACTTGTCTACTGGACATTACAGTAATAATGCGAATAATCTCATTGTTATTTCATGTCCTTCCTTCCAGACCATACCACCATCTATATCACACCTCCAACCAGGGATAACACTCCAATCTCCAACAAGGCAACAGCACCTCTGTACTGTAGCACACACTCACGACTTCTTCTCCTGCCCCCGCTCTTGCGCCTGGACCATCTCCCTTTCCCTTTCCCTCTCCTCTCTTTCCTCCCTCCACCTCCCACCCCACCGTCTCACCGCCTCGAGTGCCAACGCCCCCAAAGCCGTAAACCCCGCCAAGATAGTCATAAACCACCCTGTTCCAATACTCGCAATCGCCGTGGGCGTGACGGCGCTCACCAGCGCGCCCGCAAACATCCGGCACAAGTTGTGTACCGCTACGATGGACGCGCTCTTCCCTGGCACTGCTTCGGAGTAGTAGGCGATTATGGGAGAGTTGGCGAGTTGCAGCCCGATGCAGAAGAGGAATATCCCTATGAGAGGGATGAACCAGAACTGGTTCGTCTCTATCGTCCATCCATATAATAGCAATCCAACAGGGACGAAAGGTACACCGAGCCAGGAGACCTTGAGTCGCACTTCAGGCCGGTAGGCGTCCCCCAGCTGCGCCTTGGAACGTATGACGAGCATATCGCTCAGTTTCCCGCTAGTCACGCTGCCCATTATCTGCCCAAGGCAGCCAGCGATGAACACGAGCCCGATCGAGATCTGGGAAAAGTAGTAAGGCGCCGCGGCGTATTCGTAGGGTATGTTGGTGGAGTAGGCAAAGGTGCACGAGAAGCAGATGCTGATGTAGAGCGTTGTGAGCCCTATTGGGGGGAAGGCGAGGTACTGCAGTGACTGGAGAGGACGGAGACAGTGGTTGAACGTCTCTTCCCCTAGTCGGGTGTACCATTTCTTCTCGCTCCGAGGGGGGGTAGTGGTTGGGGAGGGGAGTGTGCGCGCCGCTTGACGCGCTTTGAGCGCTACGGACGTCTCGGGGAGAAGGATAAACAGCATGATCCACATTGCGACTCCGTAAAGGGCGAGGAACCAGGCAATTGCGTGCCATCCTCGCCATTGGACTAGGAGGCCACCAAAGATCGGGGCGAGAAGAGGACCGAGGTTTGGGCAGACGTAGTATACCCCGAAAGCGCGACCTCGCTGGTGGGGGTAGAAGATGTCCGACAATGTGCCAGCTCCGACGCTGGGATGTGTTAGCTGCGCTCTGTTGGCAGAAAGAGGGAGGGACGCACCTCTGCGCCGTGGAGCTGCCTACGGCTTGCAGGAACCGCAAACCGATGACGACGCCGATGTCTGTTGCACGGGCAAGGGCGACGGAGGAGATGACGAATATGATCGTGGTGAAGATGTATACCGGTCTTCGGCCGTAGCGTTCTGAGAAGTAGGCGTGCCACATGGGACATGCACCGAGCGCGAGGAGGAATACGGTGCCTTCGTTGGTCAGTGTAGTTCTCATCCGAAGAGAGAGGACTCACTCGTCATGTTGACATCTGTCTTGCTCGCATGGAGCGTATTGAGCATGATTGTGAACGCGGGTAGGAAGGCATTCCCCACGAAAGGAGCAGCGAGGGTGACGATACTGACGACGATGAGGATGATGACCTTGATGTACATTGGGTATCGTTTGGGATCTTGGAGGACGGGGAAGAGACAGCCGACGTCTAGCCATCGTCGTGTTGCTAGCTGGGGTGGCTGCTGATCTTGGGGAGATGCCTTGAGTGTAGGCTTGTCGTTGACTGGTGAGAGTGAGATGGATGCTGAGGGTTGCTTGCTATCCTGCTGCAGTTGGTCAGGTGACGTCGGTGTAGTTGTCCCCCTCTCCATCTTTGTGCTGTTTGCGGTCATTATTGTCGTTGAGGGTGCATGAGTCGTGGTACATAAGTGCGCATCTGTGCTAGTCGAAGGGGGTATAAGTATATTCAGTGCAGGGGTGTCATGCCGAGTTGATCATGCCGAGAGAAGGAGAGAAGAAGACAGCAGACGATCTTCTCTCTTCATTCCCTCTCTTTCCCTCTTCATCCCTCCAAAGGGTCTCTTCGGCACGCCCGGCCCTACCTGTGCCGTCCAACATCCTGAATGAATTCCAATTCGGACATCTTTGTCCCCCTTTCTTATCCATTCCGACCCTCTCCCTGACATGAATCCCCCTTGCCGAACTCACCTTTCCCTCCTCGGCACATCATTATTGCCTATTAGCAATACTTCTCACTGTCCATCAGGCAACGACAGAATAATAAAATGACACCATTTACTGTACACGTGCACGTGCGCCCACTCATCAAGAGAGAAGCAACGGCTATCAGGTCTCGGCAGCCCTAAAAATACCCCTCGGCCGGCAACGTTCCCCACAACCCCCACCACTCGCCACTCCAGCTCGGCTTCCTATCTCCCTTCCCTGACCGGCATCTCGGCACAAAAAGCCGTGCACTCAATCACCACCAAAGTCGATTATGTGTTTAATCTTGCTTCTTTCTGGTGGTTCTGTCGGTCCTCTTGCCGGTCGTTCAGCTGCTGGCATAACACCTGCGGCGACTCATCTTCCCTTCCTCTGATGGGACAAAAATACCTGCAACGCGCTCCCAAGTGCCAGTTTGGAGCTTGATCTTCCCCAAGGTTCTATCCAGTGTTGTTTCGCCAGGACACGACTCGGCATGACGTCCTCTCAACCCATTCCCACCGGCACCACATCACGTTACGTTCAGAACACCGTCTCCAGATCTAGAGCAGCTAACACAATCAACATTAATATTCCGCGTTTTTCCACGGGCAGAAGCCCAGCTTACACAATCCATCATTTCGGCACTTCGGCACTTCCGTATTTCCGTATTTGACATGCCGAGCTCTCCGGCTGTTACGTTCCGGCAAGTACGCCGGCGCTCGGATCCGAAGTTACCGGCGCCGTGCCGTTCTCGAGGAAACGATGTTGGATGTGCCGGAAATAAGCCCTGCCGGCTTGGCGTGTCTGTCCTTGGCAGAGTGTTGATCGGGAAAGGAGAGGGGATGCGTGCCGGGATTAATGTGCCAAGGGGCCAGGGCGCGTGGGCGCTTAGATTGCTCATGGGCGCTTGGGCTGTGTGTGGCCTTACGTTGCCTGAATGCTGGGCAACCTGTTCCTGTTCCTGTTCGGTTTCTTACTCGCTGGCCTTAGAGCACTGCTCGGAGGCACAGAGGGACGGACTGCGGCACACAGGAACAAGTCTGGATCTCGAACCCCTTCATTAATTAACTCATCTCCGACATCGGGAGAAGGACAAAGAACGAGAAAATGAATGTGTCCCGCAGTGCCGAGTGCGCCGTGCACCGAATCGGTCCGCACAGCGGAGAGCAGAAAACACGGCACGTAACATAGCATACACGAAGGCTGTTCGACTCTGGGATGTGTTCGTTCCTCTTTCTCCTTGTTGGGTGAGGCTGGCCTTGATGTTTCTTGTTGCTGGATAGGTACGTTGGTTGATGAGTGGAATGGGAATTAGGTCGCCGAGTGGCGTATTAGCTGACCGGTTAGTCTTTTCATTAGGTTGTCTTAGGGTAGGCAAAGTCAATCCATGACCGGAGCCGCTCAGTACAGCGGGGCAGTGGTGAACATCTTCCATTCGAGCCGGATACTGTTCGACGCCTCGCGGATGACGAGCAGGATGCTCTTGGGGAGCACGGACCAGATGCTATCGCCTACGATGATGACCACCACCACCAGGTCAGCTTCTTCGTCGGTTTCGCGGGGGAGGGTTGCTTGCCTGGTGCGGGCGCCGCCGGCTGTCCCCTACTCACTGCGCGGCGAGCCTCGTACGCGTCTTTCTCCCTCACAGCGGCTTCATACCCCACGCACAGGGGGCAGGGGATCGTGCACCCGCACTGGCTAAGAGCGCGTGAGAATCTGGGAAAGCCACGTGTCAGTACCGCGTGCATATATGCCAAATTAGGACGGTGGCAACGTACCCTGCCTTCCCGCACCCGGCGCACTTGGTCCGCTTGCCATGGCAGACCTGGCAGTTCTGCATGAATCGGGCTCGGAAGGTCTCACCATCGAGCACCTTCACGCGACCGCGCGATGCCTCCTGCAGCCAGTTGATCTGGCCAGCGGGGCTCCGGTGATAGCCGGGATTGGGACCGGAACGGTAGCGCGGGTCGACGCGGATGACGTCCGACTCGCAGTGGATGTCGTTCCTCTCGTACCCGTAGGCGTCGTACGTCGGATATCGGATGTGGATAGCGCCAGAGTCGGGGTCGACAGACTGGATCATGAATGGTGCGCCGTTCCGCATGCGATTGTCGATCCCGGAAGCATCACGTTCATCAAGATCGAGATAGAAGACTGTGCCTTCGCGCATAAAGCGGCGAAGCAAGGATGGGGAGAACGTAGAGAGGAACCACTTGTTCAGAGCGAGGACAGAAAGGCACTCCTGAGGTGGAAGCTCGTCGATGACACCGTATAGTACATCTGCCGGGAGTGAGGACGAAACAGGAGGGAGCATGCGTCGGGGAGCCATTGTGTTTGTTGCGAAATGAGATGAAGCCCGGAATGAGAAAATGAAGTGGATCTTTAGGGCGGACAAAAGCGAAGATGATTAGCTGAAACGTAACATTTTCGTTAGGAGCGAAGCGGCAAACAAAAGGGGAGACGACGTACTCACCGCGTTTTGGCCCGATATTTATTGGGTCAAAACAGGTGAAGAAGCACCTTTCTGCGTCCGGTAAGCCAATCACAGGTTTCAAATCGTGCTTCTCGGCTTGAAAAGTCAAGAAAGGTTGGTTTAAACCTCCTTTCTTAACACAAGAAAGGCAGGCGCAAAACGCGGTGACTGGTTGTCTTTGTGCGGTTACACTGCCACGGAAGTTGCAAGAGGTTACTAGTGCTATGCGATGTCGCTGTGCTCAGGGGTCGATAGCTGTCGTCGACGTGTAACAGTAACCAGTATCCCGGTAGTGAACGACTGAGGGGTGATTAGTGCAAGTGAAGCCTCGAAAAGATGCGGCGACGTCCGTCTTATATGTGCAGAGCGCCTCGAGGCAGAGTGTGTGCTGTCTAGCGTAGATGTATGCATCCCTCCATCAGAGAAGATGATATGGGTATGAGCACCGCCGTTGCGGGAGCATCATCGGTGCATATCTTGGCCTAGAAAGGAGCTCCTTTGGGTAACAGACCGAGCGGACAACGAGCACAATGGCAAGAAGAAAGCCCTGCCAGCACCTTCCCTTCATCCATGTCAGGGGACATTCGAGATGGTCGAGACTGAGTTAGGCAATAGGGGCAAACGCCATTGTCCTCGACTGCTTCTTTCCGTGAAGTCCGCGTCGTGCATTGCTTCCGTTCAGGGACCTCCCTCTGCTTCTTCCGGTTCCTCATTGTGCGGTTTCCTCCTTCTTGCCATTGTCACCTCTACTCAACACTGAACGTTGTCGCTCACCGAGCGGGCAGAAACGTCTCTACAGCGTTTACCGGCTTTCCGTCTAGAACACGAGTCCCAATGAGGATATCCGCCGTGATTCCTATCGCGCGCTGACCGAATGAAAGCGTGGGACGCCGAACGTGGCCCATTCATCGGTCGATAACTACCACATTGTCGCTCAAGATGACATTCAACAATCACTATATGTCAATATCAACATCTCTATGACATCGTATCGCTGCTATAGGTGACTTTTCTACGTAGTTTATCTTGCTATATTGCGCAATGTTATCGCAGCTTGCTTAGGGGATACTCTATTTCTGATCCGACCATCTCTCTGTGTTACAAGTGATCTCGCGTGGAGTCACTGCCGCCGAATATGACATTCAACAAAGATACTGTCATATCAGCCTATCAGCCCATCGGAAAACGTGATATGCTGGAGCAAGTAAAATATCCCTACCATCACGTGCTATCGCAACTTTGTGCGCCGTCTCCCTGCCAACCGCATTCATCATCTATATGATAACAACGAGGACAATGGGCTATCATCCGAATTTTGGGTATCAATGTTTACAATCGCGTGGAGTCGATGAATGCTGCCACGTAAGGGCATCCCATTGAAGACCCTGGAATCGGACAATGGCGCGAAGTCTATCTTCAGATTCCGATCCTCAGGCACTAACTCCCTTCGTGAGGTTGGTCATTGTCAGGGGATCTTGGGATCGTACGCGGGGTAATACAAACATCCTCCCATTTAGGCCATGACAACGCCTGACGTCGATCCTTCGGCCTCCGGAGCGCAACCCGAGAGTTCTTCATTGTGCCCCGCAGCCTGTCGGAACAGCACATACCCATCCTGCGCATGTGGAGCCTAGGCGAGGCGGCATTCCGCCTGTGCTGGTATGATGGTGGAGATCCTGAGACGATTGAGGAGAGGCGTTGTCCCTTCTTCACCTCGGGCCGATCGGCACGTGCGGGCCTGAGTGCCTTGCCCGCGGACTGTTGGTGGAGCGGCGGGGAATGAGAGAAAGGTATGACTTGTATTCATGTTGTTGTCGTTCGAGTGTTCACTAGGAGTCTAGATGATCAACTATCTGCCTCTACTAGGAGTTTACGTACGACTCGCCTCAAACAGCCAAGCAAAAATCAGACTTGGCTCATTTACAACTGTATTTGTTTCCACGATCTGTCGACATGGTTGTGCTCCAATACGCGTCAAGAGATGAACTCTTGACGCGGCTTTCCCACGCATGATTTGGCACTGCTGCGAGCTCCTAGTTTACTGTTTTCTATGCCAAGTCTGACAGCTGAGTAGCTCGCATGTTCGTGTCGCGTTCGAAATCCTCATTCGCGACCTGCCGATCTATCCTTTAAACGAGTCCTTATTCCTGAGCTGATGTGAAAGGCGATAACACCTACACTCTTCTATCCAGTTGAAGCAGAGGTAAAATGAAGACAAGGTAGACATGTTGATCGTCTTGACGGTGGATTCCCGCAAGGACGCGTCGTCGGGCAAGCTTTCACACGCTTCTTAGACCATCACGTGGAATCACGTGAGAACGCCCTCACTCATTATTTTGGGTGTTTGATTCTCTGACAATCGACAACCTACCTAGGTATATATGGCCTCTGATTTGGATAATGAAACCGTCCAAGATCTGTGGAAGCGTGGCCCCTCGAACAAAGGAAATGAGGTCTGGTCTCGACTTGTAAACCTGCTGAAAAGCGGTGATCCGAATAGCACCTTACAATGCTTCGGGGTGCGGGAGTCGTGAAGCACGCTCGACCCTCGAATTTACAGCGAAATACTAGATAATCAAAGGGGATAGTTCTGCGCCGGCCACCGAGGCGGAACATGATAGTCCGAAAGGTACTGTACAGAAACATCGGTCCGTCGTGTCACAGCACGTGATAACAGGTCATTGCTGACTAAACGTAGGGTCCAACCATGGCACAACCAATCATGGACTGTGCGGAGCTGTTCCCGCCGTCTTCTGGATAGGCAACGCTTTCCAACTGAACAGATGAAGGGCGTTGATATTTACGACCCCTCTGCAACACGGCTTGGTGTCGTCAAGACCCGGTATCCAGAGATTGTTACGCGGGCCACACACGAGCCGGTCCGTTCCGACCGTGATTATCTCGCTGACCAAGATCATTCTGGTAGCTTGTCTCAGCTAGTTAAGCAGTACGCTTTGGATAACGACCTAAAACCGGCGTTTTACTTGGCCTATACAGCAACTCGGGCAGCCTCGTTCTGACGTCACCCTCCGTTGTGGAGAACAATATTATGCTCGATAAAGAAATCCGATTACTCAGAGGCAACATGTTACCACCGGCAAAAGGTAACCTGTTCATAAACTATATAAATACCAGCTCTCCGGACCCATCAATATCTCAAACATCAGCCTACTTTACTTGACTTTCATCCACGACAGTGGTTTTTCAACGAAATGCCTGGCGATAGTGTACAAGAAGAGCTCCCCCTCTTCTTCAACAAGGGTGTTGAGGGGGCCGATCACTTCTATCCGGCGAATGAACCGGTGTCGGTTGGTGAAGCCTTCCCTGCAGTACGTATGTAATATCATATATCGATCTATAACTCACTCGAATGCAGTCATTGTATCCTAAGAATGCTCGCCTACCCATGCTCTTCCAACATCTCAAGATCCGCTCGGTCGATTTTAAGAACCGTATCTGGGTCGCACCCATGTGCATGTACTCCAGCGAGAATGGACATGCAACAGACTTCCATTTGGTACATATTGGAGTGAGTAATCCCCTGAATATTCTCCATAGTTTGGAACTGATTCTCGTTCAGGCTATGGCACTCCGCGGGGCCGGTGCTATAACTATGGAATGCACTGCCGTCCGGCCCGAAGGGCGTATGTCGCCTCAAGACGCTGGCCTCTGGCAAGATAGCCAGATTGAGCCTCTGCGAAGAATCACCAATTTTGTCCACGCTCACGGAGCCAAGATCGGTGTTCAGCTCTCGCATGCTGGGAGGAAGGCTTCCACATATGCGCCATGGGTTCAGCGCAAGCGTGATAGGATATCGAGCCTCGTGCAAAAGGATATGGCCACGGAGGCAGAGGGTGGCTGGCCTGATGAGGGTATGAGATATCCAGTTCGAGTGAGAATTTTGACTTATTTATTTCTCAACAGTGATTGGTCCCTGCGACATCAAGTACGACGTGGGATACGCGCAGCCCCACCCCATGTCAAAGGAAAAGATTGATGAAGTGATAGAGTCATTCGCTGCTGCAGCAGAGCGTGCCAAGAAGGCTGGATGTACGTGTCTATTAACCATCTCACCAATGTCATTCTGAGTCTTTCTGCGCTAGATGATTACATTGAAATCCATGGCGCGCATGGTTACCTCATCCACTCCTTCTGTTCTCCCCTCTCAAACAATCGCACCGACGAATATGGCGGCTCTCTTGAGAACCGTTTGCGTATGCCAATCGCCCTCGCCAAGCGCGTGCGGGAAGCGTGGGGCGACGACAAGCCCATCTTCTGGCGCCTGAGCTCGACTGACTGGGCCGAAGGACCGGAACAAGACCCCACGACTGGCGAATGGCTCCAATGGGGAATTGAGCAGTGCACTGTGCTCTCCAGGGAGCTCCACAAGGTTGCCGGCATTGATCTCATCGACGTCAGCTCCGGTGGCAATTGGAAGGATGCTAAGATCAAAGTATATCCTGGGTACCAAAAGCCTGGTGCCGCACACATTAGGAAGGAAGTTCCTGAGGTGTTAGTTGCGGCCGTCGGTCAGATTACGAGTGCCGTTCAGGCAGAAGGGTATCTCGAGGAAGGAAGTGCCGACGTAATCTTCTTCGCCCGGCAAATCCTCCGGAATATCGACTTCCCCCTTCGTGCAGCCCAGGAACTCCTAATCGCGGTCAAACCGATGAGCCAATATGAGTACGGATGGATGGGAATGCTTGGGTGGGGATATCCTTGGTAATTTATTTATTCAGATTCGTTAGCACTTTCAGAATGTACATACACTCAACAAAACTGTTACGTTAATTCAAGCCCTGTATATGTGGTCCCAAAATAGAATGTGCGACGCGGACGGACGAGAACTCATCTTGCACTATTCCACCATCTGCTGTGTAAAATACCCGCATTGTCACCATCAACAACGCTCTTTCCTCGTATTGTCTGTTCATTGTCTATCACTTTCGCAGCATGACTTGCTTGCTCACATTCGCTCTCGCATCTGCACTCTCAGCTCAGTTCGTCGCGACTCAGACCGTTCCAAGCGAGCTCTACTCCCCAATCATCGCCCAAAAGCTACTGAAGACCGCCCAATCACAATCCATAGCAAACTCTTACCCTCAATACACATACCCAGGCGGTAACGGCTCCTGGGATCTTTTTACCGCCGACACTTGGACATCAGCATTCTTCTCTGGCGAGCTTTACCTGCTCAATCAACGATTCACCACTCTCTGTCCCGGCAACTCCGCGAACATCGATGGAACAAACTGGATCGCGGAGGGAATGGACTGGAGCGAGGGGTTGGCGGGATTGACAGCCAGCAATACCCTCGGACATGATGTGGGGTTCATCAGCCAGCCTTTCAGGGATGATGTCGCCCTCAACTTTGCCAACTCAACCGCGTTGGATATCGTCCAAGGCTTCAATGCAGACCTGTCCGCCAGGTTTAGTCCCATTGTCGGATGTACAAAGAGTTGGGATGGTCCGACGGATAACGATTTCGAGGTGATCATGGATAATATGCAGAATCTCGTGGTGCGTAAACATAGCATCTTGTCGGTGCAGCGTCAGTCAGCTGATCGCTCTCCAGTTATTCCTATTCACTGCGTCGTTGACCGGAAACCAGACTCTCGTTGATATGGCAATGTCTCATGCGAACAAGACGATTGAGAATCACGTACGAGATGATGGTTCGAGTTTCCATGTGGTGGACTACGACCCCACCACTGGGGGTGTACAATGGCGCGGGACAGCGCAGGGTTACTCCAACTCGTCGTGAGTTTCACGGCCTCGAGGCCATATGTAATCTCACCAGCGTGAAGGACATGGAGCCGCGGCCAGGCGTGGGGCATCTATGGCTTTGCGACAATGTACAACTTCACCCGCGTACAGACATATCTCGATACCTCTCGCTGTATGGCAGACTACTTCGTCTCCAATCTTCCGGAGGCTGGAGTACCCTACTGGTGAGTATCACAGTATGTGTATTCATTGAGAACTGCGCTGAAGACAGGGCAGGGACTTCAATGCCCCGCTCTCCCCTCCGCCCTCGTACGACACGTCAGCCGCCACAATCGCTGCCTCCGCGCTGTTATTCCTATCCTCAATGGAAGCTCAACAGAGCCCTGCCAATACCAGCGGTGCGCAGCACTGGCAACAAGCTGCCATTTCTGTAAGCGCTCCCTTTTCTCCAGGGCACACCCCTTCTGACCACTACGCGCGAAGCTCCTCAGCAGCACCGTCCAGCTCGCTTGGCAGCCAGGCGGAGATTGGGATAGTCTCCTCTCTAACGGAACCGTGAACAACCGTGCCACTCCGCCAAATAATAACACCGGTGTCATATACGGAGACTATTACTTCATTGAGGTTGGTTGCCTCTTGAAAGACCCCTACATGAATAGGCTGACACGGAGCCTGCGTAGGCTGGGAACAGACTTGTCGAACTGGGGCTGGTGGATTGCTCAGGTGCTGTCCTTAATGGCACCTCTGGGAATTCGACAGGACCTTCTGGCGGCTCCGGAACTGGGAGTGGGAGCGGACCTTCTCCGAGTGGTCCGGCAAACTCGGCTGCAATCGGCCCACAAACTTCGTTGCTTAGCGCGGGCATTCTTGGCATTCTTGTCGTCGTGGTTGCTCTCATGAGCCTCTACGATACAGCTGGCATCATGGCCTGGAGTAGGGGAAAGACAGAAATAATGGACTGAGAGGACACTGACATCGTGCGCATTTGTATAAGGATATTGAATCATTAACCATATACCTGTTCAAACACGGTGCACACAATCCCTACCTTTTTGTGGTATATATGGAGCGGAATCAAGTAGAACTGGCCAGTAAGAACTACGAGACCTCATGAAAGAGAGCACCTATAATCACGGGTCTGTGGCAGTGAGCGGGACTTATTAGGGAACTAACAAATCAACTCTATGTGTACTAACGGTCGTCTACATGTCCGAAAGCGTTGGGAGCGTGTATGTATAGTGCTTTCATCTCCGCCTTTTAATTATCTGACCCCCCCTTGAATCTGTGACAGACCGTCTGATATTTCTCCCTCCACGTTTGCCAGAAGGCGGAGGGCCTTCAACAGTTGGCTCCAAGCTTGTTGGGTCGTCAGGGGACGAGTCACCCCAAATGTCTTGATGGAACCAATCGTACCACTAAGAAAAGACTTTTTAGCGTATAGCCTTATCGAAAGTTTGGAGAAGATGAAGAAGCCGACCGAGGCTGAGTTTCTGCCCCCGGGTCTGCTCGACGTGTGTGACTTCGTCTCATCTTTGGTATATATGTTCATGTGTTGCTCTAGTGGGCACGGGAGCCAGCGAACCGAAAGCCCCGCCTTGCAGGATTCATCGATGCTGTTAAGCGGCTTTTTGCTAGTGCTTGGCGGGACAAGGATGCCAAAGATGTCGATCGCGCCGAAATCGTGGATCACGCGCCAGAGCTCGCTCGCATTTACACCGACATGTTTGTGTACGAGAACATTAATGAAGATAGCTGTGCCGGAGCTACCGAGGCTGAACATCGTCGTCCTATTGATTCTATGCTGGATTTGTGCTGCGCCCTTCCGGATGGTCCTGATTTACCGTACACTCGCCTCAGGTGATTACAGCCCCACTTTTTTTTAAAAAAAAAACTTCCGGGAGATCTGATACGGGAAGCAGATGCGAGAATATGATTCGAACTTGCAAGGTGAGGGATCCTACGAAGCTTCTCATCGATCCCAAGGACAAAAAGCTGTTGATGCCGACACTTAACTGCAAATCTGATGCCGCCCTCGTCTACATGCCTAGTGCGCGTTGGACAACGGAATTTGTGGAAGCTACCATAAAGTATAAAGTGCTGGTACAAGAAGAGTTTCGGTATCACGACAAGCCTGATGATTCTGTAAGAGTTCTCGTCTTTCCAGTGGAACACAAGCTCCGCCCATCCGTTCCCAACGTTGATCAATTAATGGTACCGATGACTACCTCTCAGCGACAGAGAAGGGCACTGGGCCTGAAAGATCGTGTGCAATTTGGCATGGCCACCGAAGGCGTTCGACGGGCTTATCTTTATGGGTCTGTCTACTCGAGTAATTCTTCTAATGTACGTGATCACATGTGATTCTTCCTCGCATGGTGATTGACTATTCTCAGGACCTTCGTATCGCGCCAATCATATCCTGGGATCTTCAGGATGTGGCCCAATTTCTGGCCTGTTTCGGCTTCATGCATCTTTATGCGAAAGCGTCGCATTTGCTATGCACAGAAGACCTTGATGATACCCTTCGACGTGCTCCTTCAAGTTTTCAGCTCACCGAAGACAGGTATTGGAGGGCAAACGATTCTGGATCCAACATTTTTCGCAATAAGAGAAATCTTGACGCGATTCAGGAAGACCCAGGAGACAGCCAGGACATGAACAAGCCTAAGGACCATCAGCGCGGTTCCCCGTCGAAGCGTCCCAAGACAAGTGGCCCCCGTAGCCAGGAACGCGGCGGTAAGCAGGAAGGAAAGGGGAGAGGGTCTCATGGATCCAAGAGGCAGGGTGCTGCCCATGAAGGAATGAAAGAGCTCGGTGTCAAGTATATTGACATGGAGGAGATGGCGATTGCGGAAGCCTGGGACGATGAATATGGTGTGCTTGATTTTACGGAACGAATGGAGTATTGGCATCAAACGGAGGAGTGGCAGCGACAGGCAGAGGAGGTGAAGATGGAGGGAAGGAAGTGCGGTGAACAATATCCGACCCTGACCAGAGAGGCACTGGAAACCCTCCAGCAGGCACTCGCAGCTCTTCCTTGTCCTTAAGATGTTCCTGTCCGGACCACCACCAGATGTCAAAGGTGACCTTTCGGTAGTTTTGTAGCCAAGCCCTCAACTCATAAGAATTACAGGTCTGACACGGAGATCAGATGGGAAAACACTAATCCTAGCGAAGGAGCCCACGAAGATACGGCCAGGATACTGAGACCAACAATGTGCAGATGTCGGAGAAGTCAATCAGTTGATGATACCAATGTCTACATCCCAGCGACAGCGAAGCGCGCTGGATCTCCGAAATCGGGTGCAATTCGGCATGGCCACCGAAGGTCTTACTCTCGAGCATGCCTGTATGGATCTTTCTACGAGCCTGCAGAATTCAGTTAACATACGAGCTTCGTCCGGTGTATCCGCTTCTCCTGATGTACCTGATGTGTCTGATGTGCGTAAAAGGACATGGGTCTGTCTAGCAAGATGACCAATTGTTCCCAGACCCTTCTTATCGAGCCAATCATACCCTTGGACCTCAAGGAGGTGGCCCAGTTCCTGGCATGTTTCGGCTTCCTTCGTCTCTACTGCAACGGCGCATTCATTATGCGCCGAGGATCTGGATGATACCCTTCGTCGTCATCCTTCTAATCACAAGTTCGCGGAAGACAGATTCTGGAGGGAAAAGGACTCCAAAAGCATCTCCTTTGGCACTAAGAGAGATCTTGATGCAATGCTGGAAGATCCGGAACACCCAGGAGACTACCAGGACAGGGACATGGACCTTCAGCACGGTCCTCCTTCGAAGCGTGGTAGTGCAAGCAGTAATCGTAGCCAGGGACGCGGCGGCAAGAAGGGAATGAACGCAGGGAAGTCCCAGGGTTCTAAGACGCAGCTGGCTGCCCAGGAAGGAGTACAAGAGCTGAGGGTCAGGTATATGAACGTGGAGGAGATGGCCCTTGCGGAAGCGTGGGATTCTGAATATGGAGTGCTTGATTTCGAAGAACGGGCGGAGTTTTGGCATCAAACGAAGGAGTGGCAGCGACAGGCAGAGGAGGCGCGGTCACCAGTATCAGAAACCCTCGGGCGGACACTACTGGCTCCCGTGTGTCATGGATACTCTCAGTCGAGCTAGTATCGTTATCACAATGCCCCACACAACGCCGTACACAGGCAAACAGTCTAGAGGATTGTTCGTACTCGGAGAGACGATGGTTACATTCACCAAGACGGAGGGTTATATAACGCCGTCGGGTGACAAACTCAATGTGGAATTCCTCTGTTGTACAAGGCCTGTGGCAGTGACCGGAAGTAAGTGCCCAACTCTACACCTAACGACCAACGGCTTCTCAAGCCTCGTCCACATGTCTGCAAGCGTTGGAAATGCGTACGTATAGTTACAAATGCTCGAGGTTTGTCCTGAAATAATCTCATGTCTGCTTGAATATACGACAGGGAATCCGGTATTTCCCCCTCTAAGTTTGTGGACTCGAACGCATTCGAAGGTTGGCTCGAAGCCGCTCGGGTAAGGAGGGTTGAAGTCACACCCGACTCATTAAAGTCTTTGGAGCCGCCGATCGCAGAGTTAGAGCAAGATTTCCTCAAACGCAGTCTCATTGACAGCGTGCAGAAAATGAGGACACCGACCGAGGCTGGCTTTTTGCCCCCTGGTCTGCTGGATGTAGGTGGCTCATATCCATCAGCATGTGCTAATATATAGCTTTTAGTGGGCATGCGATGCGGAGAGCCAGTGTCTCGAGTTTGCAGCATTTATCGATGCCATTAAGGCGCTTCCCGCCGGTGCTTGGAAGGAACGAGACGCTGAAAATATCGACCCTGCAGAAATCGCGAGGCACGCCCGGGAGCTCGCGCGGATTTATAGCCAAATTATATATTGTACGAAAATCAAAGAAGAGGCCTCTACACCGGCTACCGAGGCGGAACACCGTCGCCCTATATACGCTATGTTGGATTTGTGCTGCACCCTTCCAGACAGCGGCGATTCATCTTTCACCCGGCTGAGGTAAGTACAATATCACTTCTGAAACTCACAGCAGATCTGATGCAGAGATCAGACGCGAGAACACGATCGAGTCTCCAAGGCCAGAGATACAGAGCATCTCGTTTTCGATAAGGATGAAAAGGTATTGATGCCGAAGTCCGCCGCCAAATTCGATGCTGCGCTCGTTTACACTCCCACAAAGAAGTGGTCGAAGGTATTCCGCCGAGTTACTGCGTATGCAACGGTACTGGGCAGGGATGAGCTTCGCTTCAACGACAAGACAAATGAGGCTCTCACAATGCTTCTCTTGCCTGTGGAACACAAACTCCGTCCTTCCGTCGCTAACGTCAATCAGTTGATGATACCAATGTCTACATCCCAACGACAACGAAGGGCGATGGATCTCCGAGATCGGGTGCAGTTCGGCATAGCTACCGAAGGTGTTACTGGGGTGTGCCTCTACGGATCTGTCTACGAGCCTACCCCGTCCGATATACCTGCTTCGTCCGATATACCTTCTTCGTCCGATGTACGTGAATGGACATGCCTCTGCCTCGCAGGATGACTAACCGTCTCCAGATCCTCCTTATTGACCCAATCATCACCTGGGATCTCAGGCAGGTTGCCCAATTCCTGGCATGTTTTGGCTTCCTCGGTCTCTATGGCAAAGCCGCGCATTCATTATGCACTGAAGATCTGGATGATTTTGTTCGACGTCACCCTTCCAATTTCAAAGTCGCTGAAGACAGGTATTGGAGGGCGAAAGATACTGGTCATAGAATTCCCGGTATCAAGAGAAAGCTTGACGCGAGACTGGAAGGTCCGGAAGACCCAGGAGACACTCAGGACAAGGGCAAGGATAAGGACCATCAGCGGGGTCCCCCCTCAAAGCGTGGCAGGAAAAGTGCTACCCGTGGCCAAGCACGCGGCGGCAAGAAGGGGGGGAAAGGCGGAGGATTTCCGGGTCCGAAGACCCAGGGTGCTTCCCAGGAAGAATTGGAAATGCGGAATGTCCGGTACATGGATGTGGAGGAGATGATCATGATGCCAGCCTTGGATGCTCAATACGGAGTACTTGATTTCAAGGAACGTGCGGAGTATTCCCAGCAAACGAAGGAGTGGCATCGACAGGCAGAGGAAGCGAAGGAGCAGGGAAGGAAGTGTGGTCAACAATATCCGACCCTGACTAGAGATACACTGGAAACCCTCCGGCGGACACTCGCGGCTCCTCAATAATGCCTTCATAGCTAACATCGAATATTACAATGTTCAATACCACAGAGTTTACAAGCCAATGGTCCTAACATCCGTGAATGTCCACCCTTCATGCTCAAACTAGTAAGGGTTGTAACGTTAACATTCAAGATGGTGATTCGTAGGTTTAACGTGTAAAGGAAATCTCATGGATTGAGGATATCCCACAACACGCCGGCGCCTATTTTTTTTTCGCACGGCGGGTTCGCGGAAGCTAATTGCGGCGCTGCGCTTCGTTGTATCAGTGACAGCTCTTGTTCAACCACTGATTTCATTTCCGCGAAAGCTGCTGTGCTCGCTAGAAATCGCTCTAACCTCTGTAACCCGCGCTGTTGCTTGAAGTTCTGACCGACACCGCCTTGTTGGTATATTAATATGCCTTCTCGAGGCGCATTTCCCGTTAGGAGAATGCGTACATCCGACGAACTAGTGTCTCCCTACGACTAGCGCGCACGGATGGTACATAATACGCGCCTGTATGCTTCAATATGAGGCATCAACCTACCTGCATATCCCCCCCAACCCCGAAACGAGATGGATTCTTCAACACGACGCCGTCTTCATCACGCGCCAGCCGACTACGTGATCGGCAACCAACAAATATCACCTGTCGTCAACATACGGCAGATGAGAGGGCATCTTGCTCTGTTGAGAGCCTTTTATGATCTGAAGATCAGCGTTGTCCAAGTGAACTTACCCGGACGGACGGACGAGCAAAAATGGACGAGGTTTCTGCGCTACGCCGAGTGGCGCTTCTTCCGGTGGGGTTCGACCATCGTCTCTCAGCGTTCGCCAGGTTCATCCCAGTTGAATCCCGAAGAGATCCCCCCCATCGACGTACTCATGGTGTGGCATGCCTACCTGCTCAACCCACGACACTACTATGAAGATTGTCGTCGCGACAGAGGGCCCCCGTGGGCCACGCTCGGCGCCTTCCCTCTCATCTTGGCTTCTCAATTGTTGGATAACCCGGACCCAGATCAAATACGTACTTGGGAAGATGAGACACATATGCCATTTCATCCTGACTTGGCGCCCGACCCAGATTGGTGGCTTCAAATCGACTGTCCTGCGTGCGGGTCCGCTATCAAGATACACTTCTCGCGTTGGGCTGGAGAGGAACCGCTGCCGAGCCGGTGTGAACACCGCTCGGTTGAATTCCAAGACATGAAAGAGGCTCTTTCTGTGAAGAGATTCGCCGACGAGATTTGTGCAGCTGTGGTGAATCGAAGACACTTGGATGATCCAAGATATGCTCTTGCTGGCACAGTCCTCCAAACCTCCAGCGGTCAAGTACAACATGAGGAATCAATCAGGCTAAATCGACAGTTGATTAATGTGAGTTACGTATCTCATAATGTTTTGGACCTGGAATAGTAATGGAGATATAGGCATGGAAGAGGACGGTGGAAGAAGAAGACGATGCTGCAATGGCCATCGGGAAAGATGCTCATTGGAGCTTTGCATCAATCAAACGTCGTATCCGCAGGGCAAACGAAGTGGATAACAATACGGGCACACCGCAGGAGTGGAAAGACGTGCTCGCATGCTATTCACGACCTTTCTCGGCATCTCTCAATCTAGTTGGCGCAGTCATACGCCAGGCAGCGTTCATAAAGAAGATGCATGACCAGGGATGGACAGAGCCGGGAAAGTTCGTCCGACACGACGCACCCCTCATCGAATCGATTGATCGCTACCACAAGTTCCTCGATCTCATGAGTGCTCACCCAGGCCGTTTCTACGTACCGACAAACAATATCGATCTTGCGTGGCATACGCACCAACTCCTGGCGGGCATACAGAGAGGATACACTGAAGTTAGTCGGCCGCTTCGTGAGCCACAATGACAACGTGGCGCAGGACAGACTTAAGAGGGGTTTCGATCGCACGTCTAGGGACTGGAAGGTAAACAAATGTCATACCGCATGATGGTTGTGCTAACACCTATGTTCAGGAACGCTTCGGAGAGTTGTACTGTGTATGCCAATATTGCAAGAACCGAGACGCTGCCTTGTCTATCCGGGATACGCGGTCTGCACGGGCCGCATATACGTCTTCTGCACTGGCGTTAGTTCCACGCTATCAATTAGCGGCACCGACTACTGCTACTGGATACTATTACCGCGCGCCATCCTCCAGTCATTCCCCACGCGAGAGGGAGCCAGAGAGAGAGGATCCCATCAGCGCGATTGCCGAGCTAGTTGATCTCGCAGATGGGTGCGGTGATGGTGGAGATGGCGGGGACGGTGGAGATGGTGGGGACGGCGGAGATGGCGGGGACGGCGGCGGGTGTGGTGGGGGATGTGGCGGTTGTGGCGGTTGAACAGGCCTGTGGTCCACCTGTGCCTTTCGTTCTCTTCGAATAACCGTTCTCCCGTGTTCTTCTTGCTTTCGTACTTCAACATTGGGCCTTGTGATCGTATGTGTTTCTAGTGTCCACCGAATGCTGTCTCGCACACTGCGACGCTCGCCCGGCAGTTGACCCCGACCTCCCGGCCTACTGAGTAACAGTATCTGTCTTTCGCGCGGTGCACAACCCACGATCATTTCACATCTGGGAGAGCGTAGACTTAGCCTGCAAACAATCCCTGCTGCGGCAATACGTAGTCCCTCTGATGCCTATCAGGCGGATGTGGTCAGAATACCTCATAACAGCCACATCGGCGAAGGATCACGTGCATTATGAGGGCTAAGGTGGTCGGCGGATTGGTTTGTACCAGCGACGTTCCCTATGTGCTAGATGGCGGAGCTTGCACTGCCCAAATGACTCGATTTTGCTATTTCGATAACAACACCACGCGGGCTAGACACAGCTTTTCGTCAAGCAGTGATCGCTTTCATCTATCGGCTGTTCGGCTGTTAGACAGCCTCTGATGCAAATAAGGCCCAGCTTTCCATGATCCCTCCTAAAAATACTGTGCCAGAATGGAGTAGTTTGTCGACATCGTCTTGCAATGTCTTCTACTCCCCAGCGTAGTTTCACTGAGGAAGAGTCGCCGCCGCCCTACCAAGGGCTTCACACCCACCTCGTTCTACCGGTCCCAGCAAGTTCGATCATCGACGACATCGCGGATGTGGATTCCTTCTACACACCACCCTACCCGAATGCCCTTCCAGTGACCTTCCGCATCGGTTCGCGCAAAACAGCCCCTCTCGTAAGGGTCGAACATCTTCAAGCTCACCTTACGCTCCTACATGTTTTCCATTCCCTCAAGAGCACCGTTAGCGCTACGGGCGCTCCCGATCTCACACCGGAGGAGCGCTGGGTGACCTTTGTCCACCGTGCAGTGGCACGGTTCTTCACGTGGGGGGAACGCGTAGTCTCCTGGCGCGGTCCAGAGGTGCAGCCATTGAAAGCTCTTGAGATTCCACCGATCGATGTGCTCATGGTCTGGCACGCGTACCTGCTCAATCCACGTTGTTATTACGAAGACTGTATTCGAAAGCGCGGGCCGCCCTGGCATGTGCTGGGGGGGTTCCCCCTCGTCGCGGCCTCCAAGGCGGTGGACACACCTCGACCAGAGCAGATCACCATGTGGGAGGAGAACACGAGGTTGCCGTTTGATCCGCCCATCCATACGGCGGCAGACGAATTACACCAGGTCGCGTGTCCTGCTTGCGGAGCATTAGTCTCCGTGCCTTGGTGGGAGTCGGGACGCACCAAGACGGGCTGGGCGGAAGACGCTTTCAGGGGCGAGTGCGCCGCTTGTAAGCTGAGCTTTGGAAAGGAGGCGATGGGAGTCAAGCGGTACGCGCGGGATTTGTACAACGCTGCGAAAACGGGGAAGGATGTTGATAAGGGCAAACCCGCGCTTGCACTTGCCGGATCGTTGCTCGACCTCTCTACTGGAGAGGTCGACAACATCCGAGCACGTAACATCAGCCGGTACTTCCTCGACTCGCTTAACGCAGACAAGCTCCGCAGCGCCACACAGATCGCAGTAGACGCCGGATGGAAGCTTGATCAGATCGAGCGCTACCTTCGGAGAGCAAACGACATCCCTCAGGAGAAGCCCACACCGCTCGCATGGCGTCGCGTCCTGTGGGTGTACGCGCATCCCGAAGAGTCATCCATCGACCTCGTCGGAGCCGTTGTGCGTCAAGCATTATTCGTCCAGAAGATGCATGCCCTGGGTTGGACAGCGTTCCCCAAGCGGGACCCGACCCCCCTCGTCCGCGCGATAGCGAGGTATCACGCTTTCCTAGACTTGATGAGCACCGCTCCTACGTTCCTGGTCCCGACGCTTGATATAGACTTGGCTTGGCATACCCATCAGCTGATGGGCGAGGGATATAGGGAGACATGTGTCATGATCCTCGGGTGGACGCCTGATCATGATGATAAGGTGGAAGATAACAAGCGCAGCAACTGTTTTGATGCGACGGCAAGAGCGTGGAGGGTGAGTTGCTTCTTCTCCCGGTGCTCCTGTGTGTAGTACTGATGCCCGGTAGGCACGGTTCGATGTCCCGTACAGCGTTTGCGGATGCCTTCCAGCGGACGGCTCGCTAGACCTCACATTGTCGACCTTTGCCTCCCGAATCGGCTCTTCCCGCAGTCCGACTCCGGCGATCTCCAACCCCCGGCCAGGCCTAATCTCCATCCTCCCGGGTGACTCAGAGGCCACCCATGTATCTGAGCACAATGCTGCGTTTCTAGTCGGCTCGCCCCTGGGAGATCAGAAACGGAGTGAGAGGCAGGCAGCCTGGCGCGCACGGGTTGAGCGGGTGAGAAAGGATGGGAAGGCAGATGGGTGGACGGCGCTGACTTCTGGAAGGCTGGAGGGACACAGAGCGCGCGCGGAAGGGGAATATGTGAGTTATTGGGGGATCGAACCACCCCATTACCGAGACTCTAGAGGAGGGAAGTGTCAACATCATCAACATCCAGGAGTGGTATCGCGTACGGGGCGTGTGCAACAGGTTCGGGAAGCTTCTGTGCCGCGCTGGAGGGACCGGTGGGGTGGTGAAGGAAAAACGGCTCAGCATGCGCTGCGGAGATGGACGCGTCGTGATAGTACATTTCCGGAGCCAGGGAGATCCGGAAGCTGAACGGCCTTCATGCGATTGAGGCTCGAGTGGGTGTATACTGGGGATGATGCTTGGAGTCGAGTTTTGGAGCAGGGGTGCCAGGTATAGCGGCTTCAGGAGGCATAAGGAAAACTTTGAAAGGCCCTTAGCTGTCAGAATAGACCAGCTTCTTGATCGTTCAACGTACTCTCCGAGCAGACGGTCCAGAATCGTATGAACACACTCGCACCAAGCAGGAGATTACGTGTACAAAGGTGTTCAGCGGTCTTCATCCATCGACATCGTGAGAAGGCTGTTCCAGTTCCGCAGCATTTGACTGCGGTTGGCGATGTACGCCAATGGTAGGTACAAGATGTCGCACCAGAGTAGCTCAAGATCGTCTCAGACTCGCTAGCATGCCAATCATCGAGAACAGTAGCGATGGAATCATCAGCACCAGTTAAGCCATGTATAGCATACATTCTTCTGTTCGGCCTTGATGAACAGAAATAGAAGCATATATACTCGGCCGAGATGTCGAGGCTATGCAGGAGTAAGGTGCACCTTTCGCCCTCATTTGATTCTTGAGCTTGCCGACGTGCGCAGTATCATTGATCGAACTGGCCATCTTCACTCAAAGTAAGAAGTGGGTGATAAGATGACAATTCTCGGGCATGGTCGTTTCTCCGCAAACCCGGTGCACGTCGTTCCGGCCTTATATGTGGGGTAAGCCGGTTGTGCCGAGGAAGGAAATGCACCGCCTTGGAATGATTAAAACGTGTGAAGAGATAAACAGACAGTTATAAGTGCTTGGCTGTCAAGGTTATCGATATACCCCCACCAACTGCTAGTCTCTGCCAGCACCTAGTTGAACTTGAATACTTGGCTGGACGAAATGGTCACTTTTGGAAAGACAAACAGACAAGCGGAGAAAGAGCAACCGCCTGTGTACGCACCACGGGCAGGTGCAGGTGCATCACTCGCACCTCCAGTACCTACCAAAGACGAGAAATGCCAGGACTTGCCACCTCCCTATCCCTCTTCTCTACCACCAACATTCCCAATAGGAAACCACCAGACTCCTCCACTCGTCGACCTCCCGCTCGTCACCGCTCACCTCGCCGTCCTTCGTGCGTTCTATACGCTCAAAGACACCGTCACCGATGCCAGCAACTCACTCCCCGGTGGACCAGAAACAGCAGAGGAGAAATGGGTCACATTCCTGCATCGTGCTGTAGCACGATTCTTCACATGGGGAGAACGTGTCGTCGCTCGTCGCGTACCCGAGTCGGGTCCACTACGTGCACACGAGCTCCCACCGACCGATGTCCTCCTCGTCTGGCATGCATACATGCTCAACCCACGGAACTACTACGAAGACTGCGTGCGGGGACGAGGACCACCATGGGGCGTCCTTGGAGCGTTCCCACTCATGCTCGCTGCTCAGCTCGCCGAGAAGCCTGTACCGGAGCAGATATCCGCGTGGACCGAAGGCACTGGGCTCGAGTTCGACCCTCCGCTCCAGACAGGACCGAAGGACATGCACACGATCCCCTGCCCCTCGTGTGAAGGGAGCATCGACGTACCCTGGTTCGTCCCCGGCGAAGCAAAGACTGGATGGGCGCAGCAGTTGTTCAAAGCTACATGCCCATCTTGCTCCCTCGAGTTTGGCAAGGAGGCTCTGGGTGTGCGCAGGTTTGCTAGAGACGCGTATAGGTGCTCCACGATGGCTCAGAGCGCGGCGGAAAAGACCCAACCGAGGTTCGCCCTGGCGGGCACGCTGCTCAACCCCCTTAATGGGGAGGTCGATAGGTACCGACCGCTTACGCTGAACGTGAGGTTCCTCAAGGTGCGCCCTTTCTCCAACTCTGAAATGAGATACTCATGAGAAACAGTACTATGAGCTTCTGTGCAAAGACAAGCTCAAGTCTCCCCGGGAGATTGGGCAAGAAGCTACCTGGCATCTCGCGCAGATCGAGCTCCGTATCCGACTCGCAAACCGGATTGTGGCGCCTACGACCCCTACTCCCAAGGCGTGGAAGCGTGTTCTCTCGCTGTACGCCCATCCGGAGGAAGCAAGCCTCGACCTTGTAGGCGCGGTCGTACGCCAGGGGACGTTTATCCAGAAAATGCGAGACTTGGGGTGGACCGACCCCGGGAGGATGGACGACCCTGCTCCTCTGATCCGGGCTATTGCCAGGTATCACGCTTTCCTGGATCTGATGAGTGCTGGACCGGCGTTCTACGTCCCTACGCTGGATATCGATTTGGCTTGGCATACCCATCAACTGCTAGGTGACGGCTATCGCACGAGCTGTCTTAGACTCCTAGCCAGAGCACCCGATCACGATGATAAAGTAGAGGAGAACACACTGAGCACGAGCTTCGATATCACTGCCAAGGCGTGGAGGGTATGTGCTGCATTCTTTGGTAGACGAGTGCTGAGTATACACAGGCACGGTTTGGGGTCCCGTACAGTGTATGCGGGTGTATGCCAGCTGACGCTTCGTTCGGGGATAAACTGAACAAGTTCGCTTCTCGCCTCAAGCGCTCTAACAGTACTTCGGCGCTGAACAACCCCCGCCCCGACCTGCTCAGCACGCTGGACAAGGACTCGGAGCCTACGCATGCCTCGGAACATAATGCGGTCATACTCGCCAACAGCCCGGCGTTCGACAAACGCCGGCAGCATAGGGAGAAGGTCTGGCGCGAACGGATGGCTAAGGCTAAGCGGGAGGTCGAGCAGGGGAAAGCTGATGCCTGGACGGCGATGCATGTCCGTAGATTGGAGGAACATCGCGCCAGGACCGGGGAGGCTTATGTCCCTTACTGGGGGATAATGCCCTCGGGATTCATGGGCGCAGGGATGTACTACTACCAGCCGGGGATCGTCTACGGTTGGGGAGGGTACGGGGGATGCGCTGCCGGTGCGGGCGCGTTCTGCGGTATGAACGGGGGCGCGTACGCTGCTGCGTGTGCTGGCGGTGCTGGGGGGGCGTGTGGAGGCGGAGGATCGTGTGGTGGGGGTGGCGGGTGTGGAGGAGGAGGTGGATGTGGTGGTGGGGGAGGATGCGGAGGGGGTGGGGGGTGCGGTGGTGGGGGAGGGGGAGGTGGTTGTGGTGGTTGTTGAACGGCCAGTAAGACCATCTGAAGGCTATACTAAGGGTTGAAAAGCGAAGTGTAGGTTGGACTGAGAGTGTATGATTAAACTTCTGGGCAACTTGGCTGTGCAGGAACTCATTTTGTGTGTGCGTATTGTGTTGATTAACTGGGGTCGTTATGTTAGTTTCAAGTTATCGTGCGAAATGTTTGAGATGAGTTGAGAAACATGTTCTGCAGACAATGCAACCCGGACTGTACAATATTCGGTTAATGAGGAATAGAAAGTATTCTATCACAGCAGTTCAATGCCAAAATGAGGGGGAAAAACAGTTCCGGGTACTCAATAATCCAGCCATTTTGTGACCATCAGAAGAGGAACACGAGTGGAATGCATGCCCCGGGCAATTTCCGTGGTGGGCGTTTATTGAATGGCTGTCCAGTTCAAACATGGAAAAGAAAATAAATAAATGAGATCCAGAGCAACGTTGCATTCAAATTCATCGATTCCAATCGATAGAACAGGCGCAAGAAGAACCCCAATCTGGCCGATCGGACTTTACGCCGCCCGAAACACGCGGCTTCCAGAGACAACATTCCTTCCGCCACTCATTGTCGCGACCCGCCATCACTATTCATACTCATGCACAGCTATACTCGTGTATATCAGGCTACATAAATGGGCGGCGGAAAGGGCTATTACTCCCCCTGTTGCTCAGGCTGTGAAGAGAAAATCCATGCTCTAGGAGCAATAGCAATGTGCGGCGACGGCCATTGGCGCCTCGTCCTCCACACACCCGTTTCCTGACTTGTAGGAAGCTCGGAAGTCCGTCGCATACCTGCAACCCACCTGAACACTGTGTCTGAGGCAAGTTTGCAGCGCCGCCGTTCCCGACTCGTCCCTAGCTCGACAGCATGGACCGGCTGCCTGCTTTACTTCCAACGCTGGTCCATGCCTGAAGGAAGACAATGGGAAGAAATGAGAAGAAGAACAAGCGATGCATTCACGCGCATTCGAGGGTTCAATGTTGGATGATATGTATGCCCGTCATCACTGCGGGACGCGTCTCCCGGGTGCACGGACCAGTCTGGCCAGTAGTGATCACTCTTTGCAAAGTCACAGTCACATTTTTTTCTGAAGAAACCTGTAGGTATTTTTTCTTTCACATCCAACCCTCGGCCCACATCTTGCCACCGACCACTCACCTCTTTCAACGTTTTATAACTTTCTCCCCCCTCTCATTCTATCTTTCTTCACCATCTTAACCTCGATCTTCCCTCCTACACTAGTCTACTGAAACGGAAACCAAAACAATGGCATACAATTCCTATACTTCCCAACCCGGTGCGCCGCAGGCAGCTCTTTCCTCGCAGTCTCTCCCAGTCGTCAACTTCCCCCGTCGACCTGGCTTCGGAAGTGACGGCAGAAAACTGCAAGTGACTACCAACCACTTCGAGCTGACCTGGGCTGGACAGCACCTCATCACGCACTACAGCGTCGGTACGTTCTGTTTGAAGCGTCCTGTGAGCCAGCTCATGACCGTCGCGTAGATATCGAGCCGGAGATCACAGCCGGCGACGTGACGCGTCGCAAGTATGAGATCATCGACCATCTGCAGACGATCTCCTATCCCCAGGTGTTCTCCCCGCGTGCCTCATATGACGGGGACAAGAACCTCTACGCTTCAGCCGAATACCCGATTGGCAAAACTGAAAATGTAAGTATCTAACTGTCATATATGCGCGTGGCGCAGTCTGAAAAACCTCCAGTTCCACGTTCTCATGACCAAGAAAAAATCCCCTCCTCCCCCTGGCAGCCCGGGGCACTTCATTCTCCGCCTCACTATCGTGAACACTGTACGCCCTCAGTATGGTACTCTCTGCTGCCATACGGAGGGTCTTCCTTACCTCTGTTTTCCCTCATAGGCTGCTTATGGACTACATACGCAATGGTCAGGCGCCAAGCTCGAATGAGGTGCTCCAAATCCTTAACTGTCTCAATGTCATACTCCGCCAGGCTGCGATCCAGTATGTTTTTTTTGCTTCTATATGCCCAGGTTCTGACTCGTCTTGGCACAGGCGCTAGCCACATAATGCTAAAAACTTCTTTACTAAGGCCGATATGAAACCTCTAGGTAATGGTCTGAGTCTTGTCCGTGGATATTTCCAGTGAGTATATGCGCCGCATATACTAGCCAAACCCCTTACCGTAGATCTGTACGCCCAACTATGGGAAAACTACTTGTCAACGTCGATATAACTGCTGGTTTACTACAAGTGCCTCTTTGCTCCCCGTGATGCCAGCTAAGCCATCTTCAGCTGGAACGAGGGTCCCCTGCTGGATGTCGTCATGACCTATCTGAACAAGCGTAATGTCCGCGACCTGCAGAACTTGTCCGACGCCGAAATCAATAACCTCAATCGCTATCTAAAGGACGTCAGAGTCAGGTTTTCTCACAAACCCGGGATGAAGGGAAGGCCTATCCATAAGTTTGACAAGCGTGGAGCGGACAAGATCGAGTTAGAGGATGATGGACCAAAGATTACCGTAAGCACTCCCTGGTGATGAACGGTTTTGATATATGATACTTACTTGAGACACAGCAATATTTTCTAGACACTTACAACGTCACCCTCCGTTACCCCTACGCGTGCTGTGTCTGGGTGTCGAAGACCGCCGCACTCCCTCTAGAAATGTGCATCATCGAGCCGGGGCAGCTGTACAGGAAAAAAATCAATCAAGGTGACCTGACCCGCGAAATGATCGCATTCTCGAACCGAAAGCCGGACCAGCGCATCAACACTATTGTACAGGGTCTCGGAGATATGATGTATGACCGGAGCGACTACATGAACAATGCGGGCCTGCGTGTTGGCGTACAACCGATCCAATGCGAAGGACGCCAGCTACGGGGGACTCCAGTGGAGTACAAGGATGGGAAGCTTGTAAGTCAGATCAATAAGTACATTCCTATTACTGATGGAGGCTTAGGACGTGACCAATGGCGCATGGAACTTGCGAGGTAAGGAGTTCGTTCGCAGCGCTAGCGTGGGCGTCTGGGTCGTTGTCAACCTCTGCCCCGGCGCTGGAAGAGGGAGTTTTTCTCGGCAACAAACGCAAGAGCTTGTGAAGACGATGGTGAAAGCGATGCGGACGTGCGGCATGCGAGTCGATATGACGGAGCCTGATATTTACCACCTTATCAGGAACTGCTGAAAGTCGGAAATGATGTGCGCAATCGGTATAAAGTGCCAAAGCCTAACTTGTATCTCATCATCACCAACGGTTCTGCGGATCTCTAGTGATTTCTCTTTAGAAACTACCAAACGCCCCTAAACTGATGAACGCGTGTGTAGCACTCGTGTTAAACACTGGGGTGATATCGTCATGGGCGTGGCTACTCAGCACGTCAGACTGGACAAAGTCACTCGACCAAACATGCAATATTGTGCGAATGTCGCTATGAAGTAGGATGCGTTCCTTTGTTCAACGCAACTCAGCTGAACGGAATCAGAATTAATCTCAAACTCTCCGGACAAAACCATTTCCCTATGGGTGCTGCCATCAAGGAGTTGGCTAAAGTTCCTTTCATGGTATTCGGTCGGTCGTTCGCTTGACACAGAGAAATTCAGTTTGGCTGACAAACTTTCCAGGGGCTGATACGAGCCATCCCGGACCCGGAGAAAAAGACAAGCCTAGCATTTCTGCACTGGCAGCCAGTGTGGATAGGAATGTGACCGTTTATGTTACGACTGTTCGTGCACAAGAGGGGAAAGTTGAAATTCTCAAGGATCTTCAGGAAATGACCCAGGTCTGTGTTGTCCGATGGGCCTGGATCAGCGGATCGCAGTGCTGAATAATACCATAGTGGGCAATTGCTCGGTTCCAGGAGTACCAGAAGGCTACGATTGGGAAAAGCAACATCGTGCCGCAGACGGTAATCTTTTATAGGTGGGCGATTCTTTCAGTCTCGGCGTCTGCCTCTAACGACCAGTGAGGGATGGTGTCAGCGAGGGTCAATTCGCTGAGGTGTACACGAGCGAAGTGCAGGCAATCCGCAGTAAGCCCGGAGGACAAGTGCCCCGCCATAGTCACTAACACAATCCAGGCGCCTTCGAGGCTATGGGGCTCAAGCCGCCAAAGATAACTTTCATGGTCGTAGGAAAGCGTCATCACGTTCGATTCTTCCCGAAGCGCTCGGACGCCGATCGCACAGGTAAGCTTTCTGATCTGGTATCCAAGACAGGCATATTGACCAAGAAATCAGAAAATGCACCTGCTGGGTTTGTGGTTGACACGTGAGTCCAGATGTATGGTCCAACCATTTTGCTGATGATCTCCCACACAGTGACGTTGCTCACCCATACGAGTAAGTTCGTCTCGGCGTGTTGATATTATCAGCTTATCTAGTTTCGCAGGTGGGACTTCTACTTGCAGAGTCACGCTGGTCTCCTTGGCACGTCTCGTCCAATGCATGTCTCGGTGGTCGCCGACGAGAACGGATTCAGTGCGGATAGCCTGCAGAATCTGACGTTCGCTTTGACCCATAATTTCCCTCGAGCCACCAGGACGGTCAGCATCCCAACCCCGGTCTATCATGCAGATGTAAGCCCCATCATAAATGTCTCGGCTGCTTCCTGCTCATATGTATCGAAGCTGGCTTGTGGTCGTGCACCCATTCACTTCGACCCTAATGCAGATATCGGAGGCGGATTGAACAGTTTGGAGGCTTATCAGAACGCACTCCGTCAGGCGCACAAGAATCTTCAGCAGGTGAGCTCTTCATTTAGGAAGCAGGGATTGAGAGCATGGACTCATCGAGCACTCAGAGCATGATCTGGATGTAGGACTCGATCTTTAAATACACCATCTGTTCGATCTTTCAATAGGCGTAAAGTAGGTTCTGAATTGCGTCATTAACAATGAAAGATACGATTAGACAAAACGGAACATTGTGGGGTTCAATTACTTTTCGATTCAAGAAGTCCATTCCCCGCTTTCCCTATTCATAAGTTTATTAAAAGGAGTCGGCCGAACCCTTCTGATCGGTCGGCATGAGGGAGCCGGGCCGGACAAGCGCCCACCCGACAACATCCGCTCCGAATCCGAGAGACACAGCTGAAATAAAGAACCTGATTTGAGGCTGTGCTGAACCCTGAAGGAAGTTAATTTAACCTTTCCCGAAATTTAATTGCACGTGAGATGTTAACCCTTTTCCCCTTTGAAAAAAGTCCGGTCCGCTGCCAGAGTCTCATCTTCCTAATGCAATCCGGACACCGCGGTTTATTGCTCAAAATGGCCGACTATCGCACAACTTCTTATCAGAATGGCGTGCCTGTCGCGTATCTTTGCTTCCCCTTGTGCCGTCACGTTTCCTGTTAGAGCATCGTTGACTTCAACCCGCCCAAATCACGCAATCGCTGCAGAAATGGCACGAATGTTTGGTGCCATCGAGCACCTTACTCGACTAGCGGAAGAAGAGATCGGGTTGCTTAAAAGTTGCAGAGCGCTCGAGAAGCGGCGACTTTAAGTGTTTTCGTTCCTTCTCACTTGCACCGCAACGAACATGGCCGACATCGACTTTGATGCGGAGAAGCAAGCGGCTCTCAAGAGAACGGGTTTAAACCCAAAGGCAAAGAAGGGTTGGCGCTCATTCATCTGGGATCATGAGTCAGTTTTATCTATGTTGATCTTCACAAAGGGAGCTGACTGTGTTCTTCTCATGTAGCACGGATCAAAAGTCACCCGAAGAGCAAAGACTGCTCGTGAAGCTGGACATGACTATTTTAGTCTATGCATGCTTGGCAGAGTTCTTGAAGCTTCTGGGTGCGTCTATGTGATGACTCAATGGAAGATTGGGCTAAAGTTCCTTTCAGATCAGCAGAATCTATCAAACGCGTATGTATCTGGCTTGAAGACGGACATAAACTTGGATGGCAATTCATACAACGTTGCAAATGCGCTGTTCTCTATTGGGTACGCCATCGGCCAGATTCCTGGGGTACGTCTTTGTAATGGATGTGTGCGACGCGAGTCACTAACTATCGGGTCTCACTCAGACTCTCCTTCTCCAAAAGTATCGTCCCCATCATGTGTTGCCACTCTTCGAAGTCATTTGGTCCATCGCCACCTTTGCAACTGCAGCTGTGAAGACCCCTGGTCATCTGGCTGCTTGCCGTTTTTTCGTTGGGCTTGCAGAGGCACCGTTCTTCCCCGGCATGCTCGTTACCCTAGCCGCTTGGTACACACCTGCCGAGTTGGGTAAGCGCAGCTCAATCTTCTTCGTCATGGCCCAAGTTGGATCCTTCTTCTCCGGTTATCTTCAAGCGGCATGCTACAACCTGACTGGCGTCGGTGGTCTTGCGGGATGGAGATGGCTCTTCATCATGGATGGTGTCATGTCGCTTCCTATTGCCCTGGTTGGCTTCTTCTTCTTCCCGGATTCGCCTGCGCGTGCACGCGGTTGGTGGATGACACCTGCTGTGAGTCATTCAGGGAAATATGAACCATATTCTTCTGATATTAACATCCACGTGTAGGACAAACAGCTTGCTGTAGACCGAATTGCTCGTGCGGGAGTGGGGAAGAATCCAGGATTCTTCGACTGGAAGCTGATTAAGCGGGCCTTTTCCACGTGGCATTGGTATCTGTTTGTTCCTGGTTACGTCTGTGAGTCACTCCGATTCTGTAATGTAGCACAATTGCTCAATCATTGCCAGTCTTTGGCCTGGGAACGCAAGCTGCTACCACTTGGTTCGGTGTGTGGCTGCAGGCTGAAGGTTACAGCGTCTATCTGCGTAACATCATTCCAACATTCACAAACTTGGTCACTCTTGTCGCCGTTCTGATTTGGGGATGGGTCTCTGATTACATCGAGAACCGCCCACTCATCATGATCATTGCCATTATCTATGGCATATTCCCCCTCGCCTGCCTCTCTGTGTGGGATATCCCTAACGGCCTCAAATTCTTCAGCTACTTGACCCTCGGTGTCGAGTACATCACCCCTCTCTTCTTCACCTGGGCCAACGAGGTGAATAGGCAAGATGACGGTGTGCGGAGTTTCATCGTCGCGAGCATGAACTGCGCACAGTATGCAATGGCTGCATGGGTGACGATTCTTACACTTCCCGCCTCCAAAGCACCAAAATTCTCTGTTGGATACCAGAGCTGCGCCGCCTTCAACGCCATCGCCGTTATCATCATTGCTGCCATTTGGTACTGGGACAGGCGGGACAAGGCTCGCGCTCTGCCTGAAGATAGCGAAATCGATCCCACGATACAAGGCGCAGAGGAGGGCTCAGAGAAAGACACGAAGTACCTGTCTGAGTGATCCTTCTTTGGTTCGATTTTGTAGACTTTTTCTCAGGTTTAATTGGTCGGTATGGGCTGACATCGAAATACTCTGATACACCACTGATTCACACGATTGTTGCACTTAACGTACATTTATGCAGCGATCCTATAATGTATATGACAGTCCTCTTCAGGTTTGTCTCATGGGAGCTCTTGGAGTCAGAATGCGCTCAACGGAGGTGCGCCGCGGAGCCGAGGGTCTCAAACCTATTACGACATCAACGCAACGGAATTTGGACTCCGCTTTTCTTGCAGGCAGCCACATTTACGGCATGGAAAGGGCCCGTTAAAACGTTCACTTCGGCCTTTCTCGAACTTCGCAAACTGCCATGACTGGACGATACAGAGAATTCTCTAACTGGAAGATACCAAATATTCTAAACGACAGTTGAGGGGCTGACAATCGCGAAACAGACCAACAACTTGGCACGAAGAGAAACCGCTGCATAAATAGATTTTCACGTGACGAGCCAGGCACCGGCGCTTCCCATTTGCCGGGCACCGCCCTGTTGATGGAATGGAATAGACCTTTCTGTACTGGCTATGCTTCACCCTGTCTCTCCTCATCCTCCCCTTCTTTCTGCCTGCACTCGCCCTTGAGCGCGCTCCTGCCCCTCCTTTTGACAACACTTGAAGACTCGATCTTCGTCCTTTCCTTTAACTTCTTCACTCATTACCATATTCTTGATCTTTACTATGCTCGCATCTAATCTTATGCGAGCGCTGCTCGCTCTCGCTGTAGCCGTGTCCGATTGCTCAGCTCTTCACATTCGCAAAGACGTCGATGGTCTCGTCCAACACCGCGTCACCCGTGCGCTCAGTACGCTCTCAGGCTGCCTCTTTCTGCATTCTTGCTGATGTGGACTTCAGAGGCACCCCCAGTAGCTCGGTCATCAACATCCACCCTCCTCATTCCTGGGACGTCCGTCAACGGTCTCGTCAAGGCCTACGTCGGCTCTAGCCCCTCTCGCAAGAGGCAGTCCGACTCTCTGGGCTATTTCAGCCCCGAGACCACCTCGCTCGAGCCGTACGACAGCTTGTATGTCCGCTGTTCGCGTGCGGTGCCGGGGTGTACACCTGTACCATTCACGTTCACGGTGCCCGATTCTGCCGACGAGCTGATCCAGATCGGATATGAGGTGCGTTCACCTTGACCCAGCTTAGAAAGTACCAATGCTGCGACAGGGATTTGAAGGGCTCATCCTCTCCCTCGTGGGGTTGTACACAGACCATATCGGCTGGGATGATCAAACCAATGGGTGGATAGACTATGACATGTCCCTCGGTGCAGGGAATGCCAACTACCTGATCTTCAGTGATTGGGGCATGAACAGTACGTTTCTCTTAGGAGGGGTCTTTCCTATGAAAAGGAAGTTTGTGCTGACTGGTTGACAGCGCCTGTGGGCACACCACCGACGTATGTAGAAGGCGCGGCAGCAGGGTGGACCGAAACGAGCGTATTCTCCATCGACCCCGCTACGGGTGCACTTGGAGTCAACTGGGTCAACCCCGACGGCAGTACGTATTCTCCAGTAGCAGCTTCGCACCACGGCTCATGTATGTTAGGCTACCCGGACGTGTACATGGTCTACTCCCAGAGTGTGAACATGATTTATGTCACGGGGGATGTGGACCTCCTTGCTACCACGTTGGGAGTTGATGACTTGGAACCCCTGGTATGTGTATCCAAATCGCGGGTGTAGAATATGGCTAAGGGAAAGAACAGACACTTATCTTCAGTACTGGAGAGCTTGCTAGTTGAGCGCTTGGGTATCGGAAAACGAAAATTGGACTTTGCAGTTGTTGAACTACTGACTGTTGAGCTAATCGATCCTGGCGGTTTTTTAAAAGTTAAAGTAGCGGATTCTTGGACTAATTGGTGCTGTTTCCAGGGCCTAATCATAATGTAAATGACATCACAGTATATATATACCAGCAATCTTCTGCATGTCGATCGTTGTCGTGGGCAACTGAGGAGATCGATGCCTCTGGAGCGGAACCAAATAAGGCCAACACTGCCCCTCAGTGATACCATTCAACTCTACCCTTCATTCACCTTAAGACGCTACGCAAAATGAAAATCTGTCGTCCATATGGCAAAGAGAAAACGGACCGCGTGAGTATATCAATTTATAGGGATCCATCTCATTCGGCTTGAACTGTGACAGATCCAATCTTTCACACTCCAAGTTTGCAGCAACGGGGGACTTCGCGGGGTGGCTTCGAGCGATTCAGGTGGAAAGGGGTCAAGTCCTACCCACCCAGCCAGAGACCTGGGAGGTGCAAATCCCAGAATTTGAACACGCTTTGTTACAGCACAGTCTCATAGACAGTCTGGAGAAGATGAAGAGACCAAGTGCGGCTGCCTTTCTGCCCCCGGCCCTGCTGGATGCATGTGATTTTGTCTGCGCTTCGTCGACATGTGCTAATACATCTCCATCAGTGGGCGTGCGATGAAGAAAACCAGTGCACTGAGTTTGCGCATTTTATCGAAGCCGTTAAAGCGCTTCCTGTCAGTGCATGGAAGAACCGGGATGCAGAAGATGTCGACCGCGCGAAGATCGTGAGGCACGTTCAAGAGCTTGCTCGCATTTATGGTGATATCATACGATCTGCGCGAAATGAAGACCCTGCCGCTCCGATCACTGAGGCTGAGTATCATCGCCCCATCGTCAGTATGTTGAATATGTGCTGCACCCATTCTAAGGATCCTCGTTCACCTTCCACTCGCCTCAGGTAAGTGCCAACTCGACCCTGTGGCCCAAAGCAGCTCTGACGCAGAGAGTAGATGCGAGAACGTGATTCGAGGATGCAAAGTGAGGGATCCCACGACGCTTTTCCGATGCAGAAGGTGTTGCATTGATGCCAAAACCCTCCTCCAAATTGGATGCTGCGCTCGTCTTCGTACCCAGTGTTGCTTGGACATGGCGATTCAACATAGCTACCAACTATATTGATCCGCTCGCCCACGCCGAGTTCCGGTACCATGACAAACCAGGTGAAGCTCTCAGAACACTCGTCTTTCCAGTGGAGCACAAGCTCGCCTCTTCCACCGCCAATGTCAATCAGTTAATGGTCCCAATGGCCACATCCCAGCGACAACGGAAGGCATTGGGCCTGAAAGATCGTGTGCAATTCGGCATGGCCACCGTGGGCGATCGGACTGCGTGTCTCTATGGGTACGTCTACAAGGGTGTATCTTCCGATGTACGTCGTCTTCCATCTGCCTCGTAAGATGACTGACTATGGTCAGATTATTTGCATCGAACCTGTCTTTCCCTGGAACCTCCAGGATGTGGCCCATTTTCTCTCATGTTTTGGTTTCCTTAGCCTATATTGCAAAGCAGCGCATTTGTTATGTACCGAAGACCTGGATGAAGCCCTTCAAAAATACCCTAAGGATTTTCAGCTCGATGAAAGGCTGTATTGGAGGGCAGAAGAAGAATCTGATCCCCTAATTTACGCATCCACGGGGGATCTTTCTGTGGTCATGGAAGACACGGAAGACGATGATGACAAGGACAAAGACGAGGAAACGGACAACGACAACGACAACGATAGAGGCAACGACAGTGACGGTCCCCCAACAAAGCGTCGCAAGGTTGAGGAAAGTGGCAACCGTCGCCGCACACGCCGTGACTCAGCCGACAAACGCAAGCGGGCAGATCAGCCAGGCAGGAGCAGAGGATCACAGGATTCCAAGAGGAACCGTACCGCTGCCCAAACAATGCGACCGTTGCGTGTTAGGTATATGGATGTGGAGGAAATGGCGATGAACCAAGCAGAGAAGGACGGGTATGGAGTACTTGATTTCCAACAACGCGAGGAATACGGGAAACAATACAATGAGTGGCAGCAAAAAGCAGAGGAGGCAAAGGAGCAGGGAAGGAAGCGACGTGAAGAATATACGCCCTTGACCAACAAGGCTCTGAAGAACCTCCAGCACACACTAGGCGCTCCTGCTTTATTAATTCCTCCATAGCTAATCTCGGACATGACAATCTTCAATATCACAAAGTTCACAGCGAACAATCCTCACATATATCACTATCTACCGTTTATCCTCAAAGCAACCAGCTCAAGAGGATGAAAGAAGATGGTCCGTAGCACTGATGGGGAACCGATGTCATTCCGTGAATCAATAACGGTCTCGTAGTCCAGTATAACGTAGCAACTGATTACAGCGAGTTGGTATTTTGTCTTGAAAGTGTTTTTCTCTGGAGGCCTTACGGAGATGCATCCATGGAAGAGGAGGATGGAAGAGGAAGACAACCCTGCAACGGTCATCGAGAAGGATGTGCACTCGAGCAATCAATCGTCGGGAATAACACCATTTACGGCCACATCTCACGGGTTTCCAGCGTCTCTCGATCTTGTGGTGCAGTGACACGTCAGGCAGCGTTCGAGAAGAAGAGGCACGCCTCGGATGGAGCTCTGTCCGAGACCAGACTCGGCAATTCTATTAATTGTTACCAATAATGACGATCTCACATGACGCACACACTTCTCATCACGTGGACCGGAGTTAGTATGGGGATCTGTTCCCGTCATCCAACTCCAATCTGATCAGTTGAACGAACCTGAACTAGCTACGCTATATATACTACCTAGCTACTTGATACCCATTGACATGACCGTGAGCAACACGTGAGCATGACACCTCCATCATGTGCAGCAATCTCACATCTTCTCGATCTATGACAGATCTAGTCTTTCACCCTCCAAGTTTGTAGCATCAGAGGGATTCGACTGTTGGCTGCTAGCGACTGGGGTGCACAGGGCCGAAATTGTGCCGAAACAGCTACAGGCTTGGAACGTGCGGATCCCAGTATTGGAACAAGCTTTCCTACAGTATAGTCTTATTGACAGCGTGGAGAAGATGAAGAAACCAACCGAGACTGCTTTTCTTCCCCTCGGCCTTCTGGACGTATGTGAAATTGATTGATATCAATCAACACGCGCATTAAAATATCGCTTTCAGTGGGCTTGCGACGAGCAGAACCAGTGCCTAGAGTTCGCATCTTATATTGACGCTGTTAAAGCGCTTCCCGCTAGCGTGTGGAAGGAAAGGAACGCAAAAGATGTCGATCCCGCAGAAATCGCGAGGCACGCCCGAGAGCTCGCTGGGATTTATGGCGATTTGAAAGAGGCACTCCAAGATGAAGACATATCTGCACCGGCTACCGAGGCGGAATACCGTCGACCCATTGACGATATGTTGAAATTGTGCTGCACCCTTCCGGAGGGTCCTGATGTACCTGCCACTCGCCTCAGGTAATTGTGCAGCCAAGGCTTGAACTCATAAGAATGACCGGTCTGACGCGGAGAACAGATGCGGGAACACGCTCCGAACTTGCAAAGTGAAGGATCCTGTGAAGCTCTCCCGGGGTGATAGGACCCGCAAACTGCAGATACCGACAGCCACCGAAAAGTCCGATTCTGCACTCATTTACCGTCCTAGTGCCAGTTGGGCATACAAATTCAACATGGCTACCATGACCATTGCTGAATCCGCCGAGTTCCGATACCACGACATGCCAAGTAAACCCCTAAGACTGATTGTCTTCCCCGTCGAACATAAGCGCATCCCTTTCGTGGCCAACATCAATCAGTTGACAATACCAATGTCCACGTCCCAGCGACAACGAAAAGCGTTAGATCTCCAAGATCGTGTACAATTCGGCATGGCCACCGAAGGTGTTGCTGGAGCGTGCCTCTATGGGTCTGTCTTCTCTGATCAGTTTGACGATGTGCGTGAACGGCCGTGGACTTGTCCCCCAAGATGACTGATTGTTGCCAGATCCTTCGTATCGAGCCGGTTTTTCTCTGGGATCTCCAGGATGTGGCCCATTTCCTCGCGTGTTTTGGCTTCCTCCGTCTTTATTGCAAAGCGGCACATTCGTTGTGCACCAAAGACCTGAATGATGCCCTTCAGCGCAATCCTTCACAATATAAGCTCCCTGAGAACAAGCATTGGAGGGCGCAGGATCTTCCTTCCCTGGTAATCTCCGGTGACGCAGCGAGCGGGGGCCAGAAGAGGCCACAAACGAGGAGCGGACGAGGCTCCCCTTCGAAGAAGCCGCGTACTGCCGATACAGCGGTAGAAGAGATCCCTATCATGTACATCGATCCGGCAGAGATGGCGATCTCCGCTGCGTTGGAGGCTGGATATGAAGTACTCAATTCCGAAGAACGTGAAGAATATTGGCGACAGGTGGAGGAGTGGTAGGAGCAAGCAAAGGAAGCAAAGGCAAAAGACCCAGCAGGTCAACAATATCCATCCCTGACCAGACAGGCTCTTGAATCCCTCCAGAGGACACTACGAATGGGTACTGCTCCTGACTAGTACCTTCATACCTGGCTGCGGATATATCACAACGCTCAGTACCGCACAGTCCACAAGCGAACAGTCCTGACATGTATCACTGTCTCTCATTCATGTTCAAGGTAACAAGCTCCAGAACATCCAAGATGGCGATCCGGAGGACTAATGAGGAGCTCATGTGAAGGATCAATAACGGTCTTGTAGTCAACTACGACATGAGGAAGGGATCAAGCTCAATCATCAGTTGATCACCACGGGTTGTCTATCTTACAAGCGTTTTGACCTGGAATCCCACGAAGAGGCAGGCATGGAAGAGGACAGTGGAAGAAGATAATAATTTGTCGGGAAAATGTTCATCGGACCTTTGCATTAATCAGACCTCATGAGCGCGAGGCCGAGCCTACGCCCTGCTCAACAATCTCAATCTCGCGTGACATGCACTGCAACTGTTGTCCTATGCGCACCGAGAGGATGCGATGAAGTTCGCTGGCCGTGTCGTGCATTATGACGAGCAGAACCCGGTTGCAGTGGGCCTTCAATCGTTCCTCAATGGCGCCTAATCCGTCATACCGTCAGGTTCGGCGATACGAGGAACGTGAGTGTTCGGGCACAGCAAGCGAGTATGTGCATCTATATATGTACAAAAGACAACCCACCCCACTCCCGCCCGTTCCACACGGCACCGTAGAGGTGGGAACATGATCCGACGGTTGTCCCACATTGTTGCATATCGTGACTGTGACGGAATGTACATTTGGGGAAGGGGTGCCCACATTCGGACTCCCCTTCGGGCAACGTCGGTACCCGCTCCGGAAAGGCGGGCCAGGCGCCCACCGGTCCTGCTCCTACCTGAACCAGTTGCTGACCCGCATATGAGTGCCAGCGAGCTTCACAGCCATGATAACACCTTTGAGAAGGGAAGGGAAGGAGAGCTCATCGCCAGGGTCGTGATTAGATTAGATCGGATGATGTTCATTTACGGACGGGATAGGAAAGTTGAAGGGGCTTCGGATAAGACAAACACGGGAGACCAGCACGGGGTTAGGGGTCTTCCTGGATTTGCGCGAGTGCAGCGGAGGATGCGTTGTTTGTTTCTGCTCGGACCCCGAAAGCAACCAGTTTGATAGGAATTGAAGATAAGTGGCTGTGCTTAGACTTCCTCCCATGTGAAAGAGAACCTTACACTCCATACACATGTACAACACTACACATGATTGCTCTCACCAAGCTCCCAGTACTTGTCTGATGGTTTTCACAGTGCATTCGAATGGTGCCTTTGGAAGCTGGATCACATCATATGAAGTTAGTTCTTTCATGACAGTGACATGCCGGAAGTCCGAGGAGTCACACAACACAGATGGACCGGACAAAGGTTTTGTAAGCCAAGTCAGATGCCATATATAGCTAGGCTGTTGATCAGCAGGAACACCCCACCTCTGGCACCCACCTGACAGATCCTTATAGGGCCCTATCTGCATTGCTCCACAATGTCCATTGAGGCCATTTCAGATGGACAAAATTGTAATGTGCTCCATATTGTATTTACATCCACTTATTCACAGGACTTGGGCATTGGGCTGCCTTTGGGCATTTCACCCCCCACTGCAACATTCTCATCTTCCTCCTGAACATATTGTCACTCTGCATGCATGTTTCCACACCATGGCTCATGATCATGAACATTGTGCCCCCTCTGGTGAAGGCAATGTGACATGACCACATTCACCATGTTTTGATCACCATCCTGTCAATCTTGTCTGGCACCATGTTCCTGTCAGGGCACCAGCTCATTGCTTGGTCAAGAGACATGACTAAGCCTTTATGACATGGAAGTAGCTGGTATACCTTGGCATGTGCTGGAACCTGCTGGAAGGATTGGATGGTCAGGTGACCTGCTGTGCATGGCTGTGCATGACCTCATATGACCTCATCCTTGGTCATATGACCTGATCACCTGACTAGGCTGAGTAAGCAAGATGTTCTAGCAGGTTCCACCACAGAGGTATAAATATAAGGCCTACTCTGCCTGGGACTGTCTCTTCAGACTTGGTCTCTTAGGATCATCCACAGATACCTATACTGTAGATAGGTCTTAGTCATCAGGTCTACTCCACTTCCTTGTTGCCTGCTTAGACTCTTGGCACTCTTAGGTGAGCAGACTTAGTCAGCCTGTGTTGCCCTAACAGAAGACCAAGTCTCCAAGTGACAACCTCTGCTTCACCACTCCACCTCTACTCTTACCTGCCTTTACTCTTACCACACAC